CCGATGATCTATCGAAGACAAATTTACAACTTAGCTTGTAAACATGTAGCCCAAAATATGCATAAATATTTGGGCTAAAGATACGTATCGAGGAACATAAAATTGTACATGTTGACATTTTTTTTTTAGCGCGAAACATAGTAATTAAAAAAATACACTTTTTCTAGTGTAAAGTTAATCTTAGTTGACTTCTTTTTTTCGACCCAATTTTTTCTTATTTTTTTCTAGTTGTTAATACCTCGTATTAAATACAAAGATTTCTTTTGCAAACACAGAAGACAAAACCTGTTAAAATGAACACAAATATTTGCATCTTAAAGTTTATGCATTCTTAAAATTTTGAGAAATTAGGCAATTTCTGGTAATGTACAAACAGGGATAGTACTTTACACATTTATACAGCGATAGATTTCATCGTGGATTTTATTGTTCCATCTGAGAGGACTGTAGCTACTTTATACATCTTATTTTTGTATATGTGGGACATTTTATAGTGTAAATGTATATATGCAATTATACCTGCAACTTCTTCATAAGGAGTAAAGAGAATTCTTAGCAAAATATATAGCAAAATGCTTATATCCCTGGTATATATATGGGTGAACATTTTCTTGAAAATAAGTAATTTATATATCTGTTATTTTATCTTCCACATTTAATTAAAATCTTAAATAATGCTAGGTGGATTATACATCATACATTACCAAAAATGAAAACAAAATTATGTTTTGCAATCTGAACAAAAATATCGCACCCTTCTCGTTTTGAAAAGTTTGGGAAATTCATGTTTCATGTTTTTGTCTCTCGAACTGTACATGTTTATATAGGCATTACAAGACGCTTACTTCTATACACGTCTTTTTTGTGTGTTTGTTTATTATTTATTATTTTACGTACTGGTGTACTCATTTCTAATTTGAAAGAGTAGGTCAGTAAAATAAAAGTTTCATGAAAATTAAATATTTCATCGGCAGTACACATCACCGATTTTTTTCTCTAATTTCATTAAACTTCACCTACATTCCTATAGTGTTCTAACCCAGGGCTGTCTTTCTTTAATGAGATGCTAATATAAGATCTTTTCGTATCAAATATTTACGACTTTGATAGTTCGATATTTTTACCGCTACGTGATGAACACTAATTAACTGTATTCTAGAAAAACATTTTCTCAACATTAGCACTCTAATGTATCTCAAAGTATATCGCTAGGTTGTGTTAACTCTTCGTATACATATACGTATCTGCCTGTGTAAAACGGCTAAAAACACGCTTGAAAAGCAAAAAATGTCTTCTGAGAGAATTGATCTAAGGAGCTCGGGTCCAATTTACAAGTTGTGTATCATAACAAAACATATGGGAGGGTGAAAGATGTATAGATAATTAGATTGAAGTAGAGGTTAGTTTTCGAGAAAAAGGTCTGAAATTGAAAGAAGTGTTGCAAATTCTCTTAATAGTTGTCGTAAACTGCTTTGTCTGACTATATAATATCTGTTTGCAGTATTGATGCATATATACTTGCTCGGGTAGAGTGTAAAGGCAATTAGTTTCGAAGAAGAGGTTGGTTTTCGAGGTCAAAGGTATGAAATTGAAAGAAATGTAATAAATAATTGTAAAATTTCTGTTTGCAGTTGCGATGTATACCCGGTATTTTTTCAGGTTTAATTGTATATTTTAGTGGTAGAGTTTCTCTTAATTTTATAGATAAATCTTGACAAATCAAGGCATTGTTGAACAAAATTTGCTTAATAAGAATCTAATAAAAGTAATTAAATTTCAACATATATTAACTTCAAAAGATTTGAAAGAATTTTAGAATGTTTGTAGGAGGAAGGGGCGGAGGCACAGAAATCCGCTGTTTCAGCAGCAATATTCAATCAAATTTTTATATACATACATATCAGTAATCAAATTGAACAAAAGTTTTACATATACAATATAATCAAAAAGATACTATTTGGTATTTTAAGTCTTCTCACCGATTTGGCGTGCTTGCCTTATCCTTTAAAGAGACACAACTTCGATTCCACACACGAATCATTATATCCGTTAGGAATGCAGACTTCCTAACTCCTACCTAACGGTTCAGTCAAGCAAATATGACAGCCTGGTAGAGTTTGAATTATCTATCGACAGTTAGACTAGACTCTCTTGATTAAAGCGATGTGGTCAGTCACATTACGCATAAATAAATGGTACACAAAATTAATTTTGAGTATCAGAAGCATTTGAAACGGAATTCATGCGACTGTGGTTTTTCAGCAAGTTTCTTTAATCCACGGAAAGATGTGGACATTCCCAAATAAGTCTCCTGCTATATATTAAATCCTTGCCTTACAAATATGTTAGTATAATGCATGATTTTTCGATTTAACTGAATAATTGTGAAAAAATTAAAGAGGGAAAGTTTTTATAAGGATTATTTATAAATGTATAGGAAAGTGTCATGTTTTCGCATTTTAAGGACAACTTTAAAAATACTTCGGTAGATTTTTTTTCTAAAGTTGTACGATGTGATATGTACATTATATGTAAGAAACACACAAATTCTACCGTCTGTACTTTTTAAAAGGGGCATCTCAATATTTTTGAAATTTTACAATTTTTGGTACCACAAACGACTTATAGATACTAAGGATTCATACAGAAATAACAGAAATTTAACCACTAAATCTGAAAATTCCTATGTTTAAAATTTCAATTATCGAGTTTTAAAGCCTTCTAACACGCCAATCAAATCTGAGTTTTCTCAGCAGAGGTATAATAAAAACATATAATTCGTACTTTTGTCTTTCATATCAATTTGTTAAACCTACGCCTAACAATTACGTCATAAACACACTATGATGACTCCTCCTACTTATCCATGAACAAAATGTAAAAAATAAAATCAATTTCTTTAAAAATCAATTCTCTCTTTTTAACTGCTTTGTCTTAATTCTGTTTAATTTGATAAATGATATTAAATTAATTTCTTCAGAATTGTAAATATGCTGTATTTCATTGTACTGCGCAATGGGACCCCCCACCCCATCGGTTACGACATGAAGTCTACGAGCATCACTTAATTCAAGCTGGTCTCATGCAACCGTCCATAATTTGTTGTTAGTAGTTGTACTGATACCCATTTACCACCACGTATATGCAATGAGTAAACCAATATTACCATACCTTAAGGAGGGATTCTTCTCATAAGAACACTTATTTCTTATATTTAAAAATAAATGAAATTTTTACAGAATCAAGAGAACAATATCACTAAGTGATGGTATCAGTTAGATTAAATTTGACCGTTTTATATTAGAGGCAAGGTCAGGTCAAGGTCAGTACCTTTTCCCTGGACATTAAGAATAAAAAATTACTGTTGCCAATCATGCGATGCCTACTTCTATTTCAATAAATTAAATGTTTTTTCTTTTTACATAAATAGATATTACCATATAGGGTCTGTAAGTTGATATTACCAAATTGACATAAATAATTTAACTAAAATAGATATTGGCTAATCCGAATTTTCTCTATTTTTCTTAAAATTTTAAGATATTTTACTTATATTTATATGCTTCCTATATTTAAAATTTTCTTATTTTCACATATGGTAAAGTTGTCACATAAAGATACAAAATGATATAAAAACAAAAAGTTTTTACCGTTCACTAAGAGGGAAAAAACACTTTTTACGGATTTTTGGCTCAAATCTGAACTTAGATTGGAAGCTTTCAAAAACTAATTTAATTGTAGTTTGTTTGGAAAATCATATTTATTTGATATATTTTAAAAATTTAGTCCCTTATTATTAACTTACATTTAAAAAATTTCTCCAAGTCTTTGATTGTGTAAAAATTATAACTAAATTCATTGTTCTATAATTATTTTGAGAGGCAGAAAAGAAGATGTTTTCATATGCCGCCATTCCGCCAAAAATATAGTCCCTGCTAGATTTCAAACTCAGTTTACCATTTCTATTTAAAGTTGTACAATTGTGATGAGGAAAGAAAAATATGATCTTTTAAATCTTTTACATCTAAATATATAAAACATATAAGCAAATATACTTTGAATATTTCATCTAGTCAGAAACCAGATAAGAATCCCTCCTTAAAGGTAAAACATACTCTCAGTAGTTATGGGCTCATTTGTAAAATTGCTCACCTATAAACTGGATGTCAACGTATTTAACATCCATCTGTTTACATAATACACACCACTCCATGTTAAAAAGTATTGTTTTACCTTTAAAACTTGGTTCCTATATAAATCTACAGTAATAAAAGTCTAACATTTCCAATGTTTTACTGAGCAGTCATAAAAAAATTGATGTTTGACCACAGAGTGAGTTATTGGACCTGTCGATGAGATATTGGACCACTTACATCACACTGTGGGCGGGATCAGCTATATCTTATTTGCCTTTTTTATTGTTCAACAGTGACAGAATAGACAGAGTTTTACCGCAGTGTGGGTAAAGGAAATTAACATCATGAAAGTCAGCACAAGATACATGTTTGTCAAAAAAAAAAATAAATAAAAAGTATAACAAGACATATATTGACTGTGTTCTCGGGCAATATGTGTTTTGTCGGACCCTCGACCCAAACTGTTTGCCTACCGCCCGACGGCCTCAGGTGAACAGTTTGGTTCTTAGGTACAACAAAACATGTTGCCCTCAAATGGAACCCAGTCAATAAACGTATGTTTGACTTTCATGTTCTCATCAAACAAAATGAAGCATCTTGCCTCAGTCCTGACCCATTTACTGTTGGGTTCAGACATTAGTGTCTGACTCAAAGAAACCAGTGCAATTTCCATGATGGTATATATCCAAGAATTCAAATTTATCCATTAGCTCCACAATAGAACCTGAAGTTTTAAACTGCAAGATTTAGAATTTAATACAATGTGGATACTTGTGTGTTTTAACCTTAATGTAGCAGTAGAAAAGCTACTGTTTGTTTGTCTCCTAAATACTTGTGCTAGAAAATACCACATCAACAAGCATATGTTTGAAAATATACCAGTAAATTTATTTTAGAGATTTTCAAAATTGAAAGCTTTGGTTAAAAATTAAATTAATTTTATCAAGATGAGTATTGGAAATGTTTGTTCAAAACTTTGAATATTTGAAGAACTTTTGTCAAAATATGAAATTTAAGTCCCTAATAATGGAATCGGAGTTAACATAGTACGAAAGCCTAGAGAGATGTCTGCGAAACCATTCATCACTAGGGACCTATCCAAATCTGCAGTCACATGATCACAACAGCAGGAGACGTCCGAGTGTCCATCTAATGCCCAGTCACCAATAGCTTCCCTTGTATCACAAAATCGGTCCGGTCTTCCAAAGTCCAAGGTCTTCCCAGCTTCACAATGTTTACAATGTGTATCAGTTCGCCTTTGTTCATAGTCCTTTTGAGTCCATATGGAATTGATCAGCCAGTTTCCCCGTGGTGTGGATACATTCTTACAGTTAATATTTTGACCACTAAACAAACATGGACCTTTGGCACATACCATTTGATTCCACACAGAACTGGTTTGTGGAAGATCAGGAATCGAAAACAGAACAATATCCTTGACCAAACTGAACAAATTAATTCCCTCTCTTTCTACTCCGGATGTGTCCTTTGTCTGTTCCTCATCTAAGCCATTTTCAAATCCAGTAGAGTTACTATCTGAATTAGCAGGCTTTTTGGCACCAGTTGTTTTCTCAGAGGGAACAGGGTGTGACAAAGACAAGATTGAGGGTAGAGTCAACAGAGTCCATAGTGACGACAAAGCTCCATCCAGCACCTTTGGTTTATTTTCTTCAATAGTAACAGTTTCCATCTTTTCCTGAGTGATTTCTTGATTGGGACTAGACACAGGCACATTGTTCAAGGCTGGTAGAATGGAGTGCTCTTTGACAGGGAGAGAAATGGGGGTCAGTGTAACCAGAGTGGATAGAGTTGAGGTGACCAGGAGGGTAGAACCGACCACGGTTAAAATTCCAGCCACATAAGCTACCATTGACACTGCCAACATCTGGGAAAAAAAAGATTACAATAATCATTTCAGTGGCAACTATAACTGTCCAAAACGGACATTGAAATACCCCCGCTGGGTTTTTCAGAGAAGGTACCAAATCACTTATGTTTTCTAGATGTGAGAGGTGTTTACAATTTGCTTAAACATTTAGAGTGAAAATTTAATTACTCATTATTTTTTTTTTCAATGAATGAAACTAAGGTGCAGCCTAATAAAACATCAATACTAATAATTACAGAGTTTTTTATTGCATTGAAAAAATAGTTTGCAACTATCTGTCATCTTTGTGAGACATGACACTCTGCAAATTGATTGTTGAAAAAAAATATCATAATTAGACAAAATCAAATTGATCTTAATACCTTTATATCAAACTCATTTTTAAAATAAAAGGCTGGTTCCAGTAACTATTTATTTTGACAGACATAAATACACAATTAAGAGACTTAGACAACAGAGATTTTTATTTCTTTCTGCTCAATTCCCAGGAGATATAGATAAGACCTGCTTATCAGAGATGCCCTAACAGCTTCCCACACTGAACTCATTAATTAATCTTTAACTGGATGCATGTCCACTCATTACTCCCAAGGGACAAATGGATTTACACTATCTGCTGTGTAATGTAAAAACTGTTTTTAATACTCCATGATTTTTTTTTGGTTCTAATGAGTAGTTTTAAGCTGTAGTTCACATTTTTATACAGATGTTCTAGATTCTATGTCTCAAACCTTAGACATGAACCTGAAATGACTAAGTAAAAAAAAAAATGAAAAAAAAAAAAACACCTGTAAAACGCAGAAAAATTATCAAATAAGGTTGAAAATACCAGGTGCACATCTTCATATGGTAAATAATAAGTGTACAAATTTTCATACAAACCTATGCTATAGTCTATATATATATATAGTATATATGGGAACAGATCCAGACAAAACCACATAATAAAAATGAAAAAAACACCTGTCAAATGAAAAAAATTTATCCAATCCTGATGAAAATACCAGATGCACACCTTAATATGGCGAATAATAAGTGTACAAATTTTCAAACAAATCCTTGCAACAGTTTCCAAGAAATGGTTCGGACAAAATCTCGTCTACAGACAGACAGACAGACAGACATGCTGATTCCAATATACCCCCACCTAAACTTCGTTTGCAAGGGGGGGGGTATAAAAATGCATGACAGAACAAAGCTTATAACTGTAAACATATTACATTTGGCTGTGGATTCTATTTAGTGCCTTTTGCGGAGAGCAGCTTCCGCTAAATTAAGTACATTGTTAAATGTCTTGTGAATATATATTCATATAAAGCACATTCTGAATGTGTCCAAATTAAATCTACACTAAATTGTCGAAAAATCATTTTCCACTAAATCTGAAACATTTAGAGTACTTTAGAGCAATTAAAAAGTCCTTTTTTCAACAAGGTCACTGCACTATGAAGCATGTTTTTGCAACGTTACAGAAATAGCACAGACAATCCACCAAAATATAGCATTATGTTTCCTCTGTCATTGCTATGTCTGCTGGGAGTAATCACTTGCTTACCTTTGGTACCAGAGCAGATAATCCTGTAAAGGTCTGTAGGAGTTGTGGATCTTGGCTGATTGCCCATAAGTCTGTGTAGGAGAACCATCCTCTTTCAAGTCCCTGGCTTAATGCAATCCTGTAACAGATTAATCAATCAATAGTTAATCTTTACAGAAATCAGCATTGTAATGATTTGTCTTTTCAAAGAATTATCTCTGTTATTTTCGTTCATAAAATAATACCTAAAAAAAAATATAAGTATAAATCAAGATAACAAAACTTGCTTGTACAAATGTTTTCAACTTAACTAGATTGCCCAAAATATTTTTGTGATTAAAAAGTACAGTGTATTGAGAAAAAAATCTCTTTCAATGGTTTAAAATATATATAAAAATAATATAGAAACTTTAATATAAATCATAAAAAAAAAATCATATTCTTTTTGGAGAGAATTAATATATACCAGTAATAATCCCATTTTCCATAATATATTGATCAAAATACTGACCCCTATCTAGTAATGAAAATAATTCATAGAAGTACCCGGTAAATTAAACACTAATTCTCCTTTTCTGAGTGTCAATGGTATGATGGCATTTCGTTGAATAAATCATAGTGATTCACAGTGATTTGAAAACAATTGCCAAAACATTACTGAGTAAAAAGTTATTGTTTTTAACGTGGAACAAAAACAATAAGATTCTTTTTTTACATAGGGTACTTAAAACTTTAATTAGTTTTTCCGGTAAATAGCGATAATAAATTATAGGGAATTGTTTTGATGACTACATGTTTTCTGAATTTTTTAACTGGTCGATTAAATCTGAGACATTTAAATAAATGTTATTTAGGTCCCTGATTAATCGCAGCATTTCAAATTCCAACTTGCTTCCTGGGAGTTTTAATTTTGAAAAAAATATATTTAAAAAGTATATGTATTCTGAAAAAAAAAAACCAACTGATTAATTGGTTATGAAAACTGTAACCAGTTATGATCTTTATGACCAATTAGTTGTTAACCATTTCCATCCCTAATATAATGCATTACAGTGCACATATGAAAGACAAGAATATTGAATTATATACATGTATATGTAAAAATGGTATATCTATCCCTTTTTTTGTTTCCAAACTTGGACGGATTTGATAAATTACACAAGATTATTATGAACTGATTAAAAATGCCACAAACTTAATGTAAAGGGAAAAAACTCTGCTTAAAATACATCTGATAAAAAAAATTTTTGCGTGATATTAAGCCCAATTTTTAGCAAACAAAAATCAACGTTTTTCATGGAATACATTCTGACTAGTATTACATGTACAGTGGAATGAATACTGGTTTAATCTGTCTTTTTATATGCCAATCACTGTGAAAAAAAAGTTTGTCTTTACAGGACAAATAACTCACAAAATTAGGTAGAATTTTTTTTCAAACAAAGCAAATAAAAAACAAAACAAAACAGAAATACATTCAAAGAATTACATACCGTCTTTCTACTTGTTGTAGCACCTGAAAGAATTCTTTCTCATTTACATACAATTGCCAGTCCTACAACAAAAACCAAAGATCATTTTATTCACACACTTCTCCATTGTTTGTTCAACAGATAAAATTAAAACTGTTTAAATTAGAAAGAATATCTTCAATAAGTCCTGCTTACGATTGCCGATAGGAATTGACGTTCCATTTCATTGATTTCCTCAGTTTCCAGGTCTGCTGAAGCTGCCCATTCGTCATTAAAAACTTCATCCTCAACACCTTCATCATAAAGAAACTTGGAAGCCATCATCTACAAATTTAGGACAAAGGTCAACATTTTAGTTCTTCATCAAAAAAAACAAAAAAAAACTTGGAAGTCATCAAAGTCCACATCACTATTTCTTGAAGCATTTTAACTAAATATCTCAAATCCTCTGCTAGCTTAAATTTTTTTCTCTCAGTCCAATTGAGTTTGAGATAACAAGGTATGACCGTGTAAACATACCATAGAAATCAGGAAGAGGTCAGAGGAAGACACTTGTTGCATGTAGTCAGGCTTTTTCTTCTTCAGTCTATTCACATATATCATTCCCATCATCATTGAACAAGGTGACATGCAAGAATGCCTGAAACCATTATTCTTGCCAATTAAATTTTAAATAAATATGACTAGTAGTACAAAATAACATAAATGAAAAAAATGGGCATACAAATTTAGGTCTGTATTTGCCCCTGTTACTTTTCTTTGAAAATCAAGACTGTTCAGTTTTATGGAATATTGCATAATATGGTAAATGAAATAAAAAAGTGAGCAAGCTCACATACTGCACTCTCCCAAATTGCTTGACAATGGTACACATAATGAACAGCAATGCTATGCAATAAATACATATGTACAACAAATACTTAACCCCTGCCTTTTCCCTTTAACAGATGTTTGTCACATCTGATCTATTTACACTACATGTATCCAGAGATGCACTGTCAAAAACATTCCAAAAGAAAAAAAACCCAGCTTTTCGGCATTTAAAATCATGATGCACATGCTAAACTGGTCTCCACACAAGTTGCACAAAATAATATATATTGGCCAAATGTTTGAGTTCAAAAGGGGTATTACTCCCCCACAAAAACATCAAATCAGAATTTCCTATGAATATGCACATCTTCACAGTATGTCCATATTAATGATTAAGTTTCATGAAATTCTGTTGCACAGTTTCAGGAGTTGTGCTAGTAAACTGTTTCAGTAGTACATTTCATTTTGGTCCCAAAACTGCCAGAAATTATAATAATGACTCAGAAATTCCTTTGAGTACGTACATGGTGACACCTACACAGTATGTCCTTTTAACTACAAAGTTTCATGAAATTCTGTTCAGCAGTTTAAAAGGCATTGTGCTGACAAACTGTTTCCGTAGTATATTAATTTTGGCCAAACTTGTAAGTTCAAGGGGCATAACTCCCAGAAAAAAATTGAATCAGAATTTCCTTCAAATATGCCTATTTACAAAGTATGTCCTCATTAACTGCAAATGTTTCGTGAAATTCTGATCAGCAGTTTCAGAGGAAATAACTGACTGACTGTTTGACAGATGGATCAATAAAATTATACCCTTCGGAAATCATTGGAGTATGATTATCGATTTGTCCGATGAAGATTTCATATTTACTGATACCAATATCATTTTCTTCCTAGTTTCTGTATTTTGTCTTAAGAATTATTATTCCAATCAAAGGAAAATTTCGACTTATATTTTCCCCATATAAATTATTACAACCTTTTATCCAAACTTGACAAGCATATATTGGTATTGCCATTGATGTTTCTGATTAATTTTGCTTCTCAGATAGAGGGTTTCAGGCACTATTCTTCAATAACTGAACTCTCTGAAGGAACTTTTTTTTAATCAATATAACTATGAAACCTTAACTTTACATTAATGTTCAAAACTTTGGATACTGTATAGCAAATTGATTATTATGTTGACAGGGAAATTAAGTGAATAAAATAACCCTAGCTCTCATACCACAGATAATAATGTTAGTTCTAAATGAATTTTGATACATCATAAAAAAAAATTGAATTTACAAACAACAAACCTGGCACTTGAAGCTGCAAAATAGTGATCAATCTTCCCAAGTTTCTTTGGCACTGAGGCATTCAGAAAATCCACAGTCAAGTCTATGAAGAAAATAAAGAAGTAGCTACAGTATCGAAGTTTGTCACTCTAAGTCAAAATTACTACAGTGTCTATGACCTTTACTACTGAAAAGAGAATTCACAACCACTTGTCCACAGAAAGTGCCTAGTCCTTGCTTGATTTTAAAACCAAACAAAGAATATCTTCAGTAAGCTCTGAAGAAAAAGGAATGTTAGGCTAACACATTAATTGATAAAAAAAAATTTCAAACACTGTGCCAATTTAAGTGTGAACATTGACAACTAGAACTGTCAAACAGACGGACAGGGTGATTCCTATATACCCCCCAAACTTTGTTTGCTGGGGTATAGAGATAGAGAAGGTCGAATTTAAAAAAATGTGATTGAAAATTCAAAGAAATAAATCAACATTATAAAACCTAGCATAGCAGGAGGTGTAAAACACTGTTCACACAGTGAGTTATTTTGACGATGCCTAGGTGAAAAGAAATTTTGGATGATATTTTTTCACTGGAAAATATAAGAACATTAACATGTATAGCTTCCTTCCACACACAGGGATTACAAATGTCTCTAGCTTTATACATATTCAATAAATAAATACTGCAATTGCCCTGTAGTTTAACAAATCATATCTATTTCTGAATCTAACAATGAGTCACAGTAATATACTTTGCTTGATTTTACGTCATCACTATATATACAAAAATGAAAAGGGAACCAACGTCAGCCCGAATTTACAAGGTGTTGTTCTGAAAAACACTCCGTACTTTCAATAAAATACATTGCAGCTAGTGGAATAATGACTGCAGTCATTCAGCAATAGTTATTCTTTAATAAAAAATATTATCAGGATCATTTACGAAACATTTAAGTGGTGTTTTACAAACCAGATATCCTGTCATGTAACTTGATGTAGTTTAAGTACTAAATTCGCTCAACACTGCATCCAAGTTTTAACGCGGGACGTGATTGGTCAACAGTCTTATTCTAGAACATTTTTGACCAATCACTATCTGCCTTCCAACTTGCATGGTGTTTCCCAAAATGTTGTCTGTTCTTGGTTCAGGCCTTACTGTGTATGAAAAAAGCCATCGTTATTCTTTAAATTGCAGAGATGGGGTATTTTCATCGCAAATATCATAAGAAACAGATGGTTATCGTGAAGGCTGAATCAATAGTTTGCGTTTTCCACCTTCGGAAATACTTCAAAACTGGATTTATTGTGCAAATTTTACCTCGTTTTAGTGGACGACTTAAAGTACATCGACTCGCACAACTGGATATCGAGTTAGTATCACCTAACTTAAATGCTATATAAATGAATGAGGTTAAATTTTTATTAAAGAATAATTATTGTAGTATGATTCCAGTTGTTATTTTATTGGCTGAAAGGTATTTTCCATAAAAAACGGAGTATTTTTGAGATCAACCCCATGTAAATTTGGGCTGACGTTGGTTCCCTTTTCCTTTCGTATATATAGTGATAACGTAAAATCTAGCAAAGTATGTTACTGGCCCCTGTTGCTTTGATATTCAAAAGATAAACAGATGTATACTAATGTACTTGTGAGGGGAAGAGATGGTCGGTCTGTACTTGGTCGTTTTCCATAATAGAGAGTTTTCCTTAGTCGCTCAGACAATTCCTCGTGGTCCTGTGAATATAAATATACTTATTACACGGAGTTAAATCTGATATTACACAACTTTAAAAAAAAGTAAAATATTGGTTTTGAGCCAAAACCTGTGTATTCTCATGATATTTCGTAGCCAAGGGCAAATTCCACATAAAACATTAAGCTTTGTCATACTATACGATTACTTTTCATTACCTGGAGTTCGGTGTATTCGAAATCATTGTATCCATCGTGTCCCCTTAGGAAGGGGAAATGGAAAGCAGACATATTCCCCTCTGTATGACCAGTTTTGGCAGTTACAACAGATTTAGTATAATTTAGGTAACACTTTAGATGGAGCGAAATAGATCCGCGCGAGAGCAAGGTGTGGCGAGATCTCAGACGAGACTTCAGTGTTAAAAATGGCGACGGTGATTCATAAATGAGGAAAATGACAGATGAAATTCAGTGCATGAATTTAGCATAATATGATGGCGGATAAAACAGTTGACATATCTCGTCTTCCTGAAGATGTCAGACAAAAACTAGAAGAGCTTGATATAGAGCTTGCAGAAGGTAACCTCATTATCTGATTGATTTCTATTGTTCGTGCAATGCTTTTTCCAAGTTTATTGATGTTCATGTTCTGCTACTGTTTATACAGTTCTATGAAATCAGTCATTCTACTTCTTTATCAGAGAGCATAAAATCAAAAAAGAAAATATGAGAAATCGAAATGCCAGTGAATGTTTATTTAAAAAAAAAATAGAATTTTATTTATTGATACAGATTTGTTTACATTATTGGTACTTAAACAAAGTCTTAATAAATGTATGTGGGATTTTGTGGTCAAAATTAGAAGTAATACAAGCAGAGAATCTATAGTGAGTTTGGGAATGAATCATTTAATCTTAATCATTCTTCAAAAAAAAAAATACAAACAAAAATGTTAATCTCTTACACCTGAATCCCGATGTGTCACAAAAAATCAATTTATTGAACACAGACATCATTGTTGCATAAATTGCATGTACTGATGGGTTTTTATTTGTGGAGCAAGTCTCGGACATGAAGTTGTCTAATAGTTAAAACTCATCCTTTTTTCACATTTGATAGTGCACTGAAAAAAAAACTTTAAAATGGGGTTTTGTCAAGAGAAAATTAAATTGTTTTATCCGCCAGTTTATTCTATCAAAATTTTATAAGCTTAAGTGTCCTGGTTACAAAATATGACTTCTTTATAAACAGGTATTTTCATTACAAATCTGTTTTACTTTATATATATAAATAATAGATTATTTAATTTGTATTACTTTGGTTAATTCAAGTTATTATATAAGGAATCAGGAAAAAGCTTAACATATTAACAATTACAATATATAAAAAGAACATGTCAGTGCTCTGATATCAGATCATTTTTGAAACATAATAAAGAATGAGGAGAAATGAGAGGTGACCACAAAAAAAACTTAGTCAGCATGGATGCATATACTTTTAAGTTAATCCAATTACTAAGAAAATAAATATTAATCACAAAAAGTGTTTTAAAAAAATGATGATGTAACCTCAGATTGTGTCAGGAAAAGCAGACCAATGCATGATTGATTTAGTATGGAAGCAGAAATTATATAGATAAAAGCATTATTGTGAGAAAATGGTTCTATTGTGTTGATTGCTCACTGAACTTTGAAAGTTAAAAGGAAGACTTCTCCTGCTGGCAAGTCATTGAAGATAAAGCAAAACATTCATACAATAATTAGCATTATTAGTTTGTATAATTTGTAAATAGGTATTTAAATGCAGAACAGTTTTCCAAAAAATCTTCAGATATAATTGAACACTGTAGGTTGGTGAATCAAGATTTTTTATACTTTGGATCCTCTCCAATGTCAAAGCTCACATTGACAAGAGTCACAAAAAACAGGGTTTGTGTGGATACAATCATTATCCACAATTTGTAGTTGTTTTTGTGTCATTGTGTTTTTAAAAGTTTGTCATTCAAGATAATTATTCATAGTTTTAATATGTCGGTTAGAAATAAATATATAAATGCTTTTAAAGGCCTATCTAAATAAAGATCCCAAATCCTCCTGAATTTTGATCCTTGATATTGGTATTCTGTGATCATTATTGACTATAGACACTAGTCTATGTTTATTGACTATAGACACTAGTCTATGTTTATTGACTATAGACACTATGTTTATCCTTATTTTGTGCAACTTCTGTGATTCAGTTGTACATGGATGTAGTCATGCAGTATTCATCACCCACTGTCCATCTGCACACATCTGCTTAGAATGTTACACAGTTAATGCAAATGAAGAAATATAGTTTAAAACATCACAAATTTCAGATGAATGTTAAGGATCAAGGGTCATATATGTTGGCTATTTATGCATGGAAGCAATAGGTCATAAATTATTCATAATTAAGCTTGAAAATCAATGTGGGAAAATTTTTATACTACATTGTTGTAGTTGTATAATAAGTAGGTCATCCAAAACAAATGGAGCTGTGGCAGTAACCACAATATTTACAGAACTGTAAGACTAGTTGAATGTCATGACTCATATCAAGTTGGAAGGAAGGTGGTCAGTGTGTATTTACTCAATTTTAAAAGGGTCCCAGGTCACTTCACACATACATAAAAATCCTCCTACCATTAGATGAAAGATAATTTTTGTTGTCGGGGGCTAGGGTCAGACAGGCACAACTTTTTACAGTTAAAATTCAGGAAATTAAATGGAGCTAGAGCTACTTGAGATCAATGAAGGCACGCAGTTACACAACACTGGCAAGAAATGAGAAACATATGACAGAGATGTCTAGCAAGGCAAAAATTCCAGTCACAGAGAATGGGCTGCTAATTCTGTAAAGGAGGGCTTGCTAATTTGCTTGAATGAGAGAGTGTCAATACACCATTCACCATCCTATTGAGTAAATTTTGTGTACTCTGAATTTAATAATGTAGAATTAGAAAACTCAATACATGCATTATTGCGTATTTTGTTTCTTTGCCTTATAAGGATGTCTATGATTTAATAAAGGATTTGAATGAAATACCATAAGTTCAATGACATTGCGTTTCCATACATTTATATAATTAAAAACTATTACGCATATATATGTATGCTTGGTGATAGTCATTTCTGCATGATTTTATCTCATGCAAGGGGGATGAAGGTTAGGGATGTAAAATGTAACATATAGAAACACTGCATGAATTAAGTTTTGTGGATTAATTTAAGTAATTTTTTCTAACATTATGCATAGACAGGGTTGGTTAAGTGTTGTATATTAAGCATTCAATGAGATTTCATTTAATGAAAAAAGCAAAACAAAAACAAAAAAACACAATTTTACACCAGTTTTAATGCTTCTTTTCAAATGAATGTTAGATGTTTGTATACATTCTGTATAATTTAGAATATAGCATGTAAACATGTTAAATGTAACAATTTAATGTATCATTTATTTACCTAAGGTTTATATAGGCTTAACTTTATATTTTTTGTACCCCCTTTACTTGTATCTCACTCCTTACTGGCCTTCTCTCCCTGTACCTTTATATGAATCAGAATATTTATCTCACAGCTTTCTCTGATTAGGTCTAGACAGGGATTACTGTAAGACAATATTTTGAAGGTTGTAGAGTAATGATAAATATTATGACCACCAGTGAAGAACTGACACATATTTCTATACATGTACCAAAATATTCAACTGCGTCTCTTCATTCTTCAAAATGATCATCATTCTTAATCATTGTAAACATAATTATAATAAAAGGAAAACATGATTTATTGTACCAAAGTTGCTTGGGGAATTCAATTGTTTCCTCAAAAAACATTTATTAAAATTGACATGGTTTGAATTTGAGCTGTTAGGGTGATACTTTGGAATGTTTCCTGGCTCTCGGTCTCTCTCCCTATGTATCAAGGATAACATCATAATTCCGTTTGATAAACTATAAAACATGTTAATGGTCTGTGTGTCATAGAAAAGCCATCTGGTTTGCTTTAAAATATTTCAAGAGAAACCCAGACTCCCGCTTTAAGTTTTAGTTTATTTTATTCTCGGATGCTGATGCTGAAGCATGAAAGGTATAATTATGAAGGGGAAGAAAAAAAATGTCTATAAAGGCTGTACATGTATCTGTAAGTGGTATTGCAAAAAATGTAGGTGATTCTAGGATTGCACTTTTTGCAGATCATTAATTTCTAATGGTGGCTTTGTAAAGTATATATACCGGTATACCTAGCAGCAATTAGATAAGGTGTGAAGATTTGTCTTTTTTTCAATACAGAACATGTTTGTGAAGGATGTGTGGGATTGATCAGTGATGTGACATACATGTATAAGGTAGAAGTAAAGACTGCATGACTTAACAAAAGGATTGGGTCAGGCAATCACTGGCACACTATAATTCACTAGGTAGAAGAAATTCATTAGCTTTGTTAATTAAGACAAAGATTTGTTTGTATCTTTCAGGTGACATCACTCAGAAAGGCTATGAGAAGAAGAGGACTCGCCTATTGGCGAACTATGTTGCTCACTCACCTGCAGGTAAACACGGTTAATTACGTACTTATTAATTAGGAGTGAATGTCTTTTGCAGGCTTATAGTAAATGTCATGTATTATGTGTTAAAGTTATTTTAGGTAACATAATAGTTTTCTCCAGATCGCCTATGTCTGAATTTAAGGGAGATATAAGGAAAAGAAATTAGTAGGAAAAAGGCAGAGAAATTCATTAAGATATTTTTCAGCTAGTTTCCACTGACTATTCCATCCCTACTTCATACCCCCTCAAGCTTTCCTCCCTTCTCAACTCCCTCCCCCACTTCTTATCTCCTATATTTTTATTCCATTAAAACTCTTATTCCTATTCTACCCATCTATTATTCTTTTAGGTATAAACCTCTTATCTCTGTGCCATCCCACGTCATACTGTCTCCAGTCCCAAATCCTAGAGATACATCCTACCCCTTCTGTCCTCTTCCTACACATCCTATTCCTTACTCCTCTTCTACTGTATTCCTACTCATCCATCTCTTACTTCTCTTTTTCATGTATGCCTGTATCACCCTAGCTACCTCTTGTCCTCCCTACTATCCTTTCTTTATCTGACCTCTTACTCCCATCCCTCCCATATCTCATAGTCATACCACCTAGCTCTACTCCCCTCCTCCTACTCTAAGCAGCCACCTCCTACAACCCTCTTTTCCCTATTCATGGATCATCCTACTTCATTTTTCCTCTTCCTATTTATCCTGTACATCCTACTCATCTGTGATTCTATCCTTTACCCCCTAATCTCCCTGTCCCCTCCCTCATCTATCCACTTATTTTTGTTTTTCTTGCTGATTTCTGCTGAGTGCATCATTAGATATGTAGTGAGATTTGAGAAATTTTGTCTGGTCAGAAGATAAGTATAAATGGGAGTTGACTGTTTGTTTTTGTGTATTGTAATGTAAACATTCCCAAACCTCACAGAGCAAAGTTTGATAAGATGCAGCCTGGATCTCGTCAGAACCCTCCTAATGGACTTACAGTCATGGGTCCCATTTACATGGACAGGCTAATGAGTCAGAATTAGTAATTAGCACTGATTAAAGATTATAGCATGATTTTCCATTATTTCAATACACAATATCTTGATACGATTTGCTGCATGGTTTACAGTACTGAATCAGGAGGTGGACAGATCCACATGTGTGTAGCCATATAATTGAACCAGGGTCTGGAGATCATGTTGTGGCCTTCTACTATTTACTTTGTTTTAAAGATGGGAGATATGATAAGGGCTTCCTGCATCTTTGTTTTTTTTCCGTGACTCTCTTATTGTAAAGAAAAAAAGGAAAATGCTAATTTCAGGCATGGTGTTTTAAAAGTGTCTCTGAAAAGATAAGGTTCTTTACATGTTATCTTAGAGGTTAAACAATTAGGATTTGAAACTAAACGGAATTCTATTGAGGGGAAGTGTTTGCAGTATTACGTAAATCAAGTTTTAATTTTTGTAATAAAAACTAAACTTCTGAGGAATTGTCTGATTTTATCCGAGAAGTGAACTCATTCTGATGCTACTGTTGGTGGCGGAGATTTATTTAGCATGTGTTGGTGTTTGCTGGTGGCTATATGTAACATTTTCTCCGTGTTGTATATATTTATTTAGCAAAGAAAATCTAAGGTACTGCTATATTAATGAAGTTGCTTGACTCAATCTATTAGTGATTCTGTGTTTTTGTGGGAGTTACGCATTTACTTGAATTACATTAACATAATTTGAAATTTCTACAAAGGATGTTGGTACTTCTTTATAAGTGATTTCAGTGATTGATACGGAAGATACACATCTCTGATGGCTGAACGTCCATTAATTTTGTGTCTTAGTTTGTTTACGTCAACATGTATTTTGGGTTGAAGCTTCTACCTAAAGGTCAGTGACATATCTAATCAATATTATGTTATAGCAGGCCACTCTGTAATTTGGTCATTCACTTCATTATGACAATTTTATAAACATTTTCAGCTTCTTTGATAGCATTCAGTAAAAACTACAAGAAGCCATGGTAGTCCACTTGATAATTTTTCTCCCACTAAATGTTTTAATGGTTTAGAACCTGTTGCCCCTTCAATCTAGAACACACTTTGCTTTCCCTGTGGGATACATGAACTTACAGTTTTGTCCTATATAGTACAAAAGCTGTTGATGCATGGCACAAATTCTGCTTCCTTTTTGTATTGTGCTTTGACTTTTAATCTTTTCCAGGAAGAGCCAGATATGCTTTTGTAAATGTTTTTTTTTTTTTAAGGGTAGGAAGTTGGTGTATACATGTATATGATATGGATGATGTGTGGACTTTTGTTTCAGTATCAGGATCAGTATAAGATTATTTTCACTCAAATCAACACTTTTAGATGAAAATAATGTCCTGTAGAACCTTATGTGTTAGATACAGTCCACTTGACTAGCTCTATACTACATATTTCATGCATACGTTAAGGTTTTCACACCCCATATAAAGTCCAGAAGGAAAGGAATTTATTGGATTATGATCACCTGCCCATAATATACACCTGTATGATGTCTCTCTAGTCTACAGTTCACCTGTTGATATTATGACAGATTAAGGGGTAGTCCTTAGTCACTCTGCCATGAACCAAGGACTTGGTAGGTGAATCAGATGACACACTTGGATGTACTGTCCAAACTGCCCAAGTTCTTGTGACTACAGAGTATTAAGATGCCCTTTTTTCTGACCTGCTCAAATGAAAAAGGGGGGGGGGGGGGTGTATTAATACATGCTTATGCCGATATGGTCTTGCATGCATATGGTCTTAAGTTGTTGCATATGGTATTATGATAAAATTGCTTTCAATTGGAACCAAACAGTACATTATTTTTCCCTTTTTTCTAACATTTATAGAATCTTAGTGTATTTTAATTAATTAATAATTATGGTCTAGTAAATGTATAAATGTCCCATTAGTAAAAAACACAGCTCCTGTGGTGATTATTTTACAGATTGTCTGGAAGATAGATTAAGTTATGTGTGCAGATATTTTGCCAGAGATACCTGCACTATAACAGGGCATACTGAATCATCTTTTTATTACATAATGTTCATTCAGATTTTTGTTTTAAAAAAACTAGCTCATAATGCAACTTCAAATTTATATTGTGCACAACTGAAAATTGATCCACTGGGGTCTGTGGGCTGATCCTTGAATTATTTGTATGGTAATAAACCAAATATGAAGAAGGAGAGCCACATAACTTGCAAAAGACATCACCTCTGCCATTGAATGGTTGCAATGTGTTTTCACACTTTACTATCGATTATCATCATAAATAAACACCAACCTCTTAAACTCTCTATAAAAACTTCAGCAGATTTGATTAAAGGTTATCCACATGGTATCTATTACGCCTCTCCACAAAAAGACTTGTGAAAGACTCTATTTAGTGCAGCAGACTTTCTTGAGATTTTTGATGAAGGAACCTGGATTAGTGATTGTTGATTTTATCATGTTGCTCTCATTATGTAATTATTTTCAGAGCCGAGTGCACCTAGCCCCCAGACTGCCGCACAGCGGAAGGCTCACCGCAGGCTCACAAGGGAAGACAACCGCTACCATTCAGGTATGCCAGTTTACCTTAATTTTAATTATATCAATCATAATTAAAAGGGTACTGTAATGTCTCTAAGATGCCTTTAAATACACATGTTTAGTGTGAAGTTTTGTAATTAACATTTATTAATTGTAATTAACAAGGAAGACTTATTAATGTCTTAAAAGCCTCACAAAAAATGATTAGTGAATTTTTTTTAATTATTCAAATTTACATGAATTTCATATCCCAAAGCTACTGAGAGAGAATTTATTATTATTTCACATATATTTTACATGCCAAAAATATATGTCTGGTGACCTTATTACTAGCAAATTATTTGACCTAGTTTAGACAACACTTGTAATTCTGGTATAATTAGACACAGAATTTGTTCACCACTATATTTCCTTTGAAGTAAAAGTGGAAAGAACTATTTTGAAGATAAACAACTGACTTAATATTTGGGAATTGTAGTTATGAGGAAAGCAATGACATCTTTCATTAAAGACCAAAAAATAACATAAATTGTATAATTGAATAATCAATACTTATTTTTACCTTGTTTGATATTTTTGATTTCCAAAACACCATGTGTGTGTGTGTGTGTTTTCTATTTTTTTGGCACCTAGACTGAACTCTGTGGTTTTGAGACCACAGACGGAAGCCTCACCTTGCATTCCATTTTAAATTGATAATCACAACGTAAAATTAGCATAGGCAACACATTTTTTCACCCATAAACATAACACATATGTATGAGTTACACTGTATAGAGAACCACGTTTTTGAATGTATTACAGAAATCAGAACAGAGGCAGTGATGCAAGCGCTTGCTCTACACAACAAAAAACCTGTTGTTCCGCTTCCATCCAAACGAACATCTGTCCAGTATCCAGGTCAACAACAGAGAGCCAGAGAAAGACATGGTATTGTACTCTTTTACATCCTTGTTCAGAAAGGAATGTTCTTTCTTGAAATAAATATTGTTCTCAAAATGATGTAAGAATTTGTTGAGACCCATAGGAATATTAATGAAATTTTGCCTTACAGATTCATCATCAGATGATGACGACAGTATTTTTGGTGATGATCAACACAGAGATTTTCAGAGAGGAGGTCGTTACCGTGACAGTGGAGCTAGTTCTTCCTCATACTCTGATGCCAGTGCCTCACCCCATCACGGGGGACGGGGAGGGGACAGTCGACCCCACAGTGCAGCCTATGCCATCCCTGGGAATACCTCCAGACATGCGTTGGCTGATGTGTTACAGAATGCCAGGCATTGTAAGTTTTACTATGTTATTGCCAAAATGAATTTTGTGTAGTTTAATGTCATGTGTGGTCAGTTTTCATTCCCATCTACAACTTCCCTTTTCATGGTGTTAGTGACCACTAAACAGACAAAGAATTTATGAGTTCTTAAATGCTTCTCAAAGTACATGAACTGTAAAATCACATATTTTAATGGGATCAAATTTTTGTGGTTTGATGAATAAATATTGGTTTGTGGGGATTTGATTTTATAGTTGAAGAAGTGCAAGTAGTGATATTAGACAAACATGATACAGTGACTGTATATTGAAATTTTTACCTTCCATGGAGAACATGAACTTATGAGTTTCCTTATACCAAATAAAGTTACCCCCCAAAAAAGTGATTTCACAGTATTTTACTCTATTATATATACAGTATAGAGTGTTTTACATTAAAAATATTTTACTCTGTGTTGTTTCTAGCTCAACCAATCTCCCAGCCACCTGATGTAACCAACAATGCTAAAAGCACCAGACAAGCTGACAGGGTCGGCCATTACGCTCCATCACACATATCATCTGTCAGAATGAACAATTCAGGAAATATCTCAGGCCTTCAGGATGATGGTAGCTAACATAGAGAGATATGAAAGTTGTTTCTTAAAGTAAATCCTGAATGTGATGAATGAGGCAATATTTTGATTTGATTTTGTAATTTCAGAAATACGACATCAAGGGAAGGTTTCAGCTAAGATACAGCAGTTGTTGAATACATTAAAGGTATCTGCGTAAAGTTTTAATGATATTAATGTGTGAATTTGTTAATGGATTTAAAATGAGAATTAATGTGGCTTTCTGCCTTTGGAAAAATGCTTCTTATATTATTTATCAATATTTGTTTTTAAGAGACCGAAAAGAAAACCATTACCCGAGTTCTTTGTTGAAGAAGATGATGCTCTTGAAAGTAAGAATAGATTTCATTCGTACAATAATCTTATTTGATTCTTCCTATCTTTACTTACTGCTTTCATTTACATTGATTTCTTTCAGACCTTTTAGACTTTAAGAAAATGTACAAATTTCAATTTAAAAAAAGAATAATGTTTTATAGTAATGGGGTTTCTTTAGATTGATTTTTTTCAAAATTATGTTACTTAATTCAAATTATGGGTTTTATGTCCTTAAAAAAAATTGGTTTTTCTCTCTCCTGCAAAAATTTCTTTTGAAGTTTTTATCCCAAGAAATATCACTAAAGTCTGGAATGAGAAAATCTCCTTGTTCAGATCTTAAAACCGTAGGGTTATTTTCACCCCATCTTATTTTCACCTTATTACACTTCGATAAAAAAAATTTTGCTCCATTTAAAATTTGCCGAGACACAAGTTGTTAATGCTGTTTTAAATTCTCCCAATTGCAACGAGGGCAAAATGGACAAAAATAATACAGGGGCAAAAATTTCCCTTCATATAGTAGTAATACTAGCCTATATAAAGGGTGAATGACCAGTCAGAGAACAGTGATATGGCATGAATTTAAAAGGTAACACAAATATAGATATCTGTAAAAAGATAATACACCTATAAGCATATGAAGGAGACTTGTTTTGTTTGCAGCACCAGCACCTGACCCAAATGCACCAAAACCAGAGGGCAGTGTCATGTCACCGTTTCCTGGAGAGCAACTTGTGGTAAGAGTTTTAGAACAGTTATAGCATTATTTTGTTCCATGTGTTCCATGAGGAAATTAAAACTAAATGATTTGCAATTCAGTGTACGTATACACTTAAAATTTATAGAATGTACAGTATTACAGTGAAGTTTTTGAGAGCTCATTGATACTGCACAAAATCTATGTTAAACTCAATGAATCCAATAAAGTCCACATTGAATTTAATTATTTCTCAATTTATCATTTGTGATGGAAGTTCTTGTTAAAGAACTAACCTCTGCTTGCACATATACCTCATTAAAATTCAGTATTTTATAATTTTGAACTGTATGACAGTAAAATCTATGTTCTATTTTGATGTGTATTTCATTATCCTTTGATAGATACCAACAGGTTTGCCTCGTAATTTAGAGTCAGCATTACAAAGATATGGGTCATCTAGTTACAAAGCTAATGCTGTGACAGTTCTAGACCAGAATGGAAAACCATCCCTTACACTTACATATGGTATGTTATTTAGAATCAGCATTACTGTATGGTATGTAGCATAGACAACAGCCATTGTTTACACTTACATATGGTTTGTAACTATGACAGCATCTGTCCCATAAAATTGAGTTAAAATTATTATTCTGATTTTTTTTTAGATATACATACACAGATACATGTACTTGTACTTACCCATGATAAATCTTTTCCATAATTTAAAGGCAAACATTACAAATGCAGTAATGATTTTAGTTATAAATATTAGCTGGTACAATGATGTGTTTGAACTCTCTTCTTGCAGGAAAACTGCTGGCCAGAACCCAGAAAATTGCTTACAACATGTTACAGAAAACAGGTCATAAAGGGGAAGGTGGAATTAAACCCAATGACAGGGTATGTCTGACATCAGTATTAATCAGAAGATACTACCAAATGCTCAGCTGTTGGGTGTGCTTTAGCCATTCATTTATAACTTATTGATGTGATTTCCATATTTAGAAAAATAAACGTGGATTATCCCTCCCCCTCCTTTTCATTCTTCCACACCAAGCATCAAGCAAACCTTTGTCTGTTGTTGTGCAGTAATAAATGCAACCACAAAAGTGAAATTCAGCTGTTCAAGCTTGTCTCTTTTTCTGTTCTGGAATGATTGATTTGATTTATTCAAAATATATGAATAATTTGTACACTTTGTATTTATCCTGTCTTAAAATCTTCTGATGAATTAAGGTATAATTTGTAACAGTATGTGATTTACTAACTATAGTTTGTGTACATTATTTCATGAATTCTTTTTTAGGTAGCTCTTGTCTATCCAAACAATGACCCTATATCTTTTATTAGTGGATTTTATGGCTGTTTACAAGCAGGTGTGGTGCCTGTACCTGTAGAAGTCCCATCATCCAGAAGGGTAAGTTCTTTTGTCAATAGCGAAGCATTACTCTATGTTTCTTGTTAAAATTTAAAAAAAACAAAGGGAAATTATTAAATACAGTTATTCAAGAAATTACCAGAGGATTGCTCAGAAAAATCTACTGTAAAATCACTTATTTTCCTGGGGTCAAATTTTTTGTGCTTTAACAAAACTATGTTTGTGGGGATTAGATTTCATGGTTGAAGATGTGTTGAGATGTTATATATTTGAAACTTTACATTTTGTGGAGGACATAAATTCGTGGGTCTCTTTCTACCATGAAAACGATGAAAATCAAACCCCCCACAAAAATCAGTGATTTCACAGTACATGGTTAGAAGTAGGATAGTTATCCTAGTTTTACTTTTAAAATCATGAAATTTGTTCTCCTTTACAGGATGCAGGAGGGCAGGGTATAGGGTTTTTATTGGGCAGTCTCAATGTCAAATGGGCCCTAACCTCAGAGGCGTGTCACAAAAGTCTGGCCAAGACTGCTAGTGGAGAAGTTGTACAGTTTAAAGGTTTGTTGCCTTCATTGCAAAAGATAAGCTGAATCATCAGACTTAATTAAAATGAAATATGGAGGATTAATTAAAGAGCTCTAGTGTAAGAAATCATATATCAGGTATAGTTTGATTGATAAAAAATGTGTATACTATGTGTACTTGTTTCAGTGGATGAGTTTTTGATTTTAGGGTGGCCCAAGCTGAGCTGGCTGGTCACTGACAATTTAAATAAGTCCTCAAAAGACTGGCAACCCCCTCCTAAACAGTCTGAAGATATTCCAGCCTATGTAGAGGTATGTTTAAGAATCTTCAGATTTTTATAAAAAGTCAATGAATTGACCAATGTGAGAAACAAATTACATTCAAATATAATGTTATTCAAATTTTTCGAGTGCAATATTAAGTAAAAATAATTTGCACTTTAATTTTTTTAAGATTACAAATTGCTTATATGTAAATGAGATTTCCTGAATGTTTCAGTACACACAAAGTAAGGAAGGTAGCACAGTGGGTGTAACTGTGACAAGAAATGCCATGTTGTGTCATGCTAGGACCCTCACTTTAGCCTCCAATTACACAGAGGGTAAGTCAGTAAATCCTATAACTTTCATTGAATTATGACACTGTAAGGGCAAAAAATATGCCTCGTAGCTACCTCTAATGAAAAAATTGAAAGTATACGCTACCTGAAATTACATGTATAAATTTTGTTGAAGCTTATCAGAAGGAATAAATGTTTCAAAAAATGTGTTTTCTTTCCAGGTGAAGTTATGGTCTGTGTTTTAGACTTCAAAAGAGATGTGGGTCTTTGGCATGGTATATTATGTGTAAGTTTAAGTATTTGTATCCAGCTTGGAGGGGGAAAAACCTTATCATCATAAGTTGTTTCTTTTATTTGGTACCCTGGTGTTCATTGAAAAGTTCAACTTTGTTATTTCAGAGTGTGTTTAATGGCATGCATGTGATATTTATTCCTTATTCCTTGATGAAAGTTGATCCAGCCTCATGGATGAAAATGATCACCAAATATAAAGGTATGGTACTGAAACTTTTGCATGAATAAATTGATTTCAGCCTTGCAGTTGCTGAAATGTTCAGTAAAAGAGCAAGAAATAATTGCTATTATTCCTGCAAGAGTAACAAAAGAAAAAAAAACAGTTGCATGTATATGTACAAATGTATATTTTCTCTATTGGTAGCACTGAATCTTTTTATTACATGAAATCAATTACATTTTCAAAATCTGTTTGTTTTTACAGCTTCAATAGCTATAGTGAAGTCCAGGGATATGCACTGGGGACTTCTAGCTCAGAAGGATCACAAGGACATTAGCTTTGCCACACTGAGGCTTTTGTTAGTAGCAGATGGAGCTAATCCATGTAAGTCAGTCAAAAACAATTTGGTGGTGAAATGAAAAACATGTCAACATTTAAGAGGGCTGGGTGGTCGTGGACATTTTTAGACTATATTGATCTCCTTTAGAAGAAGAGCTCCATATAAAGATATACAAAAATGATCAAATTTTAAAACTAAAATGTATGAATTTTTTCTTTGCCAAATGATAGTTGACAGCTTAAGATATCATATCTGAAAAAATAAGTTATATCTGATGGTTAATTTGTTGACCCCCCCAGCCTCCTTAAATATGGGTTTAGCACAGTATACATGTACATATAAATGGTTTCAGTACAATATACATTTCCATATGCTGTATTATAGATGGTTTCAGTACAGTGATGAATATGTTATTCACCAAATGATTTCCCTTTTTTTCTTGAGGATGAATGGCCGCTTTGATAGGAAAGATAACTGCTAAACTGATAATCCACTATGAATCAAAAATTTCCTCTAATGCTATGATTTGTCTCAAACTTTTCCCTGTATATTGTTTATTGAATTTGCTTCTCCATCATATTTTAGATAATTGTCAATATCTTAAATAAAAATTCCATCTTAGTATACAGATGGTCACTCTCACTTGAAGAAAATTCTGTTGGCCAAAGATGTGTTAGATAATTTTTGTTTTTATTTTTTCAAGGGTCTTTAACTTCCTGTGATGCATTCCTGAACTTATTCCAAAGTAAGGGATTGAAACCAGAGGCCATTTGTCCTTGTGCCAGCTCTTCAGAGGCTTTAACTGTCTCAATTAGAAGGTAAAAGTTAAAAGTTCACTGTGTACAAAGTAAACCATGAATTTAGATCTGTAAATGTAAGGGGAAATGAAGCATTTTCTCAGTCAATTGTTGTATATACATGGGCTTCATGTCAGAGTTTGAAGAAATAGATTTATTTTTCAGGCCAGGGCGGTCAAGTGCTAGTGCTACTGGTCGAGGTATCTTATCCATGCAGGGTCTAAGTCATGGTGTGGTGAGGGTAGACACAGAAAATAGCCTGACCTCCCTCACATTACAGGACTGTGGACAAGTCATGCCTGGAGGTAGGAAGTCAATTAATCTGTTAATTAATCCAAAAGAAAATGTCATGGGATATCAATCAAAAACAGACATGCATTTTGAGTTGAAATGATTTGCAGCGTTGTGCATATACAGTGTATTCTATGTCCTATATCATATTTATATTTTGAGATTATTTCTCAGGAAGTGTAAATTTGTTTTTGTTTTTCAGCTGTGATGATAGTTGTGAAGATTGAGGGTCCCCCAATACTCTGTCAGACAGATGAGGTGGGAGAACTCTGTCTCTGTGCAGGTTACACCGGGGTCAGTTACTGGGGTCTACAGGGTATCACTGCCTCAACTTTCCAGGTAAAAATCAGAATTGGGAGTTTTCATTTAAAATTATGTTTCTTCTCTGGTTTTCTTGGTTTTGTTTTGCTTAATTCATCAAACAAACAGATATATGTATTGATTACACCTTTATGTTGTAAATTTTATAAAGTGACATATAAAAATATTCATGGATTTTGAATTGATGTTAATTTGTTTTAGGTTCAACCACAACATCCAGATGGAACAGTGATTGGTGACAAGAAGTATGTCAGGACAGGCCTGCTAGGGTTCCTAGGCCCAGTAAGTTTTTGCAGTTAACAGTGAAAAACAGTAATGGTTTGATTACAATTGTGGCATTCTTTTTATATATACAATAATGTAAATTCTAATATTGTCTAATATAGACAAGGATGCTTGGACCCTTGACATATTTTGGTCTTTTTGTGTGCATTTTTATTTTAACTCATGAGCCTAAATAGAAATTTTTTGACTGGCATTCTTATTCACATAGGAAGCTAAATGTTAAACTACAGTCACAGTTTAAGTCACACTCATTCTCATTTTGTGTGTTTGACAGGGTGGGCTTGTGTTTGTGTGTGGAAGTAAGGAAGGCCTCATGACTGTGTCAGGGCGTCGCCACAATACTGATGACATCATCGCCACAGTCTTAGCCGTGGAACCCATGAAATTTATTTATAGGGGAAGGTAAAATGTTTGAAAATTATTTATATAATTTGAAAATATGAAAGAGTTTTTTTTTTGCTATCTTTCACAATGACTCATGTCTCAGCATACACTTGGAAATAAGGCTTTTACAATACAAATTTTTAGCATTTTTGTACTGTTTCACTGGTACATGTATTTTTTCTGTTTTCTTTGATGATTGAAGATGTTTTTTTTTTTGGTGAAGAAAAAAATCCCACTTTAGCTTCTAAAAGATAGGGATGTTTTTCACATATTATAAATAGAATGCTGTTCTTTATTTCAGAATTGCAGTCTTTTCAATTTCGGTTTTGAAAGATGAAAGGATTATAATAATTGCTGAGCAGCGGCCAGACTGCACAGAGGAAGAGGTAAAACAAACTTCTATTTAAATCAGTGAATAAAAGGAACTCAAAATTAATTTTTTCACTATGTCTGCAGTAGAGAGAGTGTTTTTGGACAAGAATAATTGAGTTGTTTTAATCTTATGTTTCAGAGTTTCCAGTGGATGAGCCGTGTGTTACAAGCTGTTGACAGTATCCATCAAGTGGGTGTCTACTGCCTCGCTCTAGTCCCTCCCAATTACCTACCCAAGGTCAGTACAGTGATGTCATTTTATATTTCTTGCTGAAGCAGTATGATACACACTTCTTGTTTTTGGAATTTGGAAATGAAATGTTATTCCAACTGAAAAATGTTTTGAATGTGTTTTGATTTGATCTGTGATTATTTAACAAAATGTTATTGTAGCTTATATTCCTCTTGCAAGGAGTTAGAGGGGATATAGTAACGCAAGTGTGTTTGAGTGAGTGCCTGTATAACAGAAGTTACACAATAATTTATATCGGGATTGTTGTGCTCTTTTGCGAGGGGATGCTCCTCTTTGCGGTGCCCTTGTTGGTGTTGTTTTCAGACACTTCTAGTAAGATAACATATTTTATCTTATTAAATCAATAAATTGTACCTTCTTTGTCTCTTTAGACACCTCTAGGTGGTATACATTTACCAGAAACCAAGAAGAAGTTCCTGGAAGGTTCTCTTCACCCTGCCAATGTTCTGATGTGTCCACACACCTGTGTCACAAACCTACCCAAGCCACGGGAACACAGGCCAGGTAAGTGATAATTAGGTCAAGGTCGGCTTTCTTTGACCCTTTTGTTTTGTGAGTAAAAGGGAATTTTTTCCTCCCAAGATTACTCTATACTAGGATTAGAGATGGATATCCCTCACCGTCTTTAACATGTTAGTTTATTTTCTTTCATAAAACTATTGATTAAATCTAACAAATACAGTGATATGAATAAAATTACTTACAAATAATTTTCTGAAACTTTTTTTTTCATTTTTAAACCTTTTAACACTTGTTCACTTGGTTTCAAAATCTCCTTACCTCAGGGGTTTTAAGATTAACTTGGTTGTTGGTGTTTTAGACTATTTACATCCAACAGCTGCTCAGTGTAAGTATCACACCACAGAAGATCTCCGGCATTTATAACAGCTATGGCTTCAAAAACTCGGACATCAAACTTCATTTATACATTTATTTGTGTAGAGATTGGACACATTATCTTCCAGCATGACAAACTACCTTTCTATGAAATGCTTTAAAAAAATGCTTTCAATTACATCTCCTCATTTTTATTGGGTAGCTCATTTTCTTTCAAGATATTTTTTTTTTTACATATTGTCTTTTTTTTAATATCAGATTTTCCGACAGACTATGTTTGAAACTTATTCTCTTTTTATATAGTTTACATACTTTACATCTTTATTTATCTATCTGTCTAAATTTGAAATTATTTTGAGTGACACTTTTTTTTTAATACATGTATCTCTTCCAACTTTCCAAGGAGTAGAGAATTTAGTTAAGACAGTGATTAGATGGTGAATTAGGGTGAAGAAAGATTAACAGAAATAGAAATATAGAAAGGTTCTCTGCTTTTCTTACCATTATTTTAAAGCATGCAATGGAGATACATATATGTATGGGAAGCACAAATAATATCAAAATGTTCACCCAAATCCTACCTAAGTCAGAAAATGATAGTGACTTCCAAAAGATTATACAATGCAGGCATGCAATAATAGTCCTATTTGATCTTTCAAAGCTTTTGTCAGAGGTAACTTTGTGAATTTATGCTTTAATCCAAACATAACACAAGCAATGGAGGTTTCTAATGCTAATTCGGGTTTTATAATTGGGTCACAGATACTGATTCACAAGAGATTGGAAAACAGATGCACATATCTTACTGTTAATGACTTTCAAAGGACTATATTTTCATGAGACGGAAATTTGGTATTTATTCACATGAGATGTGATTTAATTATTTTTTTGTTCAATGGGAAATATGAGTAACTTCCTGTAATATTATTCTTAGTAACTTTATCTTTTGTCAATACAATCTCAGAAAATGGCACAAATACATGTATACAGGGAATAAACAGATTTACAGTAAGTTGTAAATATTAAGGGGAAAGTGCATCACAGATATTCAAGACATTTTTACAGAGTGGAACACTAGGATGATGTGTAATGTACTGGGTAATTTGTAGATTTGGATGAATTTGAAAGAAATTTGGAAGATTTTAAAAGATATATAAAATGTATTGTACATTGGGAATGTCAAATCTCACCAAATTTTCAACCAAAGGAGAATTCTGTTGCTGAGGGTACTCTAAAAGGTCTTATTTTAAGAGGTCAAAAACATACATGTATTTGCCTTTTAATATACATGGTTGTCTGCCCTTCAATATGTGCTACTGATACTCAACAGGAATGAAATATTTAGTCCATTACTTACGGAATATTGATAATTATTTTACCTGTAATAATGAAAAATTTTCCTTTCAGATGTCACTCCTTCTGCAGTTCACGTAGGGAATATTGTACAGGGAGCCCGTATGGCCCAGGCCCAGGGCCGTGAACTTGGCAGTACCGACGAGGAGTCGGACACTGCCCGTAAAGTAGGTCCTCAAGTATGTCTCATTTCTGTTTATAAGCATGATGTAGTACAATTTTGTGGTAGTTAACACTAGCTGCTACTTGTATCAGGTATAGTTATTTTATTATTTATTTTTGATAATTTACTCCTACTACTTACATGTGCTGGTTAATTGTTAGTTTTGATTGCATGTATAGCGTATTAAATCTTCTTTTATTTTATTAATTTTTTTTAGCTTAATCTGTTTATCATAATTTATTAACATTATTTATGCTTTTATCCTTTCTTTTTAATTTTTTTTTTATTTTATATATGTGTAAAAAATATTCAAATATATCTATTGTATGAATCAAACTAGTATATGTATGTGTACGGTACATCTTTGATATTTCAGTTACTAAAAGGTCTATTATCATAGATTGTTTTCACTTAATGCTAACATTCTTAAGTTTGTATAGTAGATAACAGAATATACATACACATGTATTTAGTTAGTATTTAGTCTTAGTTAGTATGTGAAGTTCGAAATATCTTAACAAACAAAAAATTTGTTTTTTAATAATGTGAATTTTATTTGAAACAAAAAATTTGCCATTTAGTGAACTGTTAAGCAAGCTATTTGTTTTCTCTTTTCAGCACATGTTTTTAACAGAAATCCTTCGCTGGAGGTCTCAGACTACACCAGATCATATTGTGTTCACATTGCTCAACTCCAAGGTGAGTCTAATGCCCCCATAATATTCCAGGAGATCATGTGCAGTATGGGAATGAGAATAAAAATATGACTGAGTGGCTGACATAGTTAATGCTGGTGCTGTTTTCCAGTATATTAAAAATTATTTAGAGGATTTATAACTGCATAACCAGAACATATTTTGTAGGTGTGGCACTGTACTTGGTTTTTTTTTTTTACCCTTTTCTTAAATTTAATCTCGCTTTTGTGATAGATTCAATAATATTACATGAAAAAAAATTCCCATGTTCTCAGATCTGCAAGAATTAGTTTTATGATACAGTAATGAAACAAAAGTGAAACGAAACTCAGTCTAAAAAAAAGTACATGCCTTGGTAGTTTGCAAAGGTTATTTATTTAAATGATTACAATGCTAAGCACTGGTAGTGAGAAAATCAAGACGCATTGAGAGATTATTTAATTAATACAAAAGCAATTAAAATCCGCTTGATTGAATTTTAGATACAAGGAAAATGGCCGTATCAGGTTTGTATCAAAGTTGATTGGGAGTGCTGGCCTTGTATTACAAAACATTATCTATGCTATCCATAATCCTTGGAGTCATGTCAGGTCTTTTATCAGTTTGGTATTGCTACATCTATGATTATTATATACTAGCATTCATATAGATATATTACAAGCATTTCATGGATATGCAGGCTACTGTCATATTGATATGCAAAAGATATTTATACCTCATGAAGGCTGCATGGCTGTTTTTGGCTGTCTGAAAATGCCCTATAAACTGATACTTTGCAGCATGTAGTAAAGTCACATAAAGGTTTGATTAAGAGTGCAAGGGTTACTTTATGAATTTGCTGTTAACTGGATTAGTCAGCTGTTCCTCTAGTTTATATGGTATTCCCTGTCTACCGTATATGAACATTTAGGTTGTCAAATTCTGTTCCTGGTGTCATCCTTCAGCCTCTTTCCCTAGAAAGTTATTATTGATAGATAGTTTGTGTTTAAGGATTCTGAAATAAATCATGTGAAATATTTTTTGAAACTTAAAAAATTATGCAAATGTCGTTACATTCGTGTAAATAAAATCATCTTTGTCATAAAGCATGATTGTTAAAAGTGGTGGTCTATGTGAATTTTGAATTACTTCGGGGTTGGGTTTCTTGAATTTACTAAAAAGTAACAAATGGAATTGACGCCTACAATAAGTCTGATGTTAAAGAGTGTCTACATACATGCATATTTTAAGATTGTAAGTACAATTAATGCTTTCCTATATCAAACACTTCAAAAGCATGTATTTAAAAACTGTGAATGAGATATGATTGAATGGCATGTTTTACTGCTGCACTAAATGTATCACTGCATTCAGTATTCCTGTGTAAGAGGTCCAGATTAATTCAGTGTTTGAACAGGTAGTTGGATCAATGTCTGTTTTGCTTTCTAACATTGGACTGGAGATCTTGAACAAGTGATGTGTTTCAGGTTCAGCCCCAGGTGCAGATGTCCTGTTCACAGCTCCACAAGCGTGCAGAGAGGATCGGCTGTATGCTGATGGAGAAAGGCAAACTGAACACAGGGGACCATGTGGCTTTGATTTATCATCCAGGTAAGTGAGGACCGTGTGGCTCTGATTTTTCATCCAGGTAAGTGAGGACCATGTGGCTCTGATTTATTGTCCAGGTAAGTGAGGAGAGGATCATGTAGGCAGTGGCTCTGTTTTATCATCCAGTTCTAGTTCACATAGCTCTAGTTCACCCTTTATCTAAAGAGAAAGGGAAGACCATGTGACTGATTACTTCAGGTAAGTGAGAACCATGTAGGTCTGAGCTATCATTCTTGTACTATGATGAGGACCATTGAATTGTCCTCATGTTAAGTGAAGACAATGAGCCTCTGGTTTATACTCTAAGTGAGGACCATATGGATCTCATTCTTTAGGTAAGTGGACTAAGTGGCTTTGATTTATCTTCTAATTAAGTGAGGACAATATTGCGACGATTCATCCTTCATGCTGTAAAAGTTGGGGCCATGTGAATATGATTTAACTTCCTGGTTAGTTGGAAAATTTTGGGTCTCGTATGTCCTTAGGTAAGTGGACTGAGTGATTTGATTTATCCTCCAGTTCATCCTCCATGTACTAAAAGTGAGGACCATATGTACATGTATCTGATTTATTATTCAAGTACATGTACATCTAAATGAGGACCATGCGGCTGTAATTTATTCTCTGTGTACTGTAAACCAATTATTATTTGCAACATCTTTTATTCCTGATTTGTCAGTTTGAAATCCATTTATGACTACTAATTTTTTTGACTGAAAAAACATTCTACATAAATACACAAGTAAATGGTTCATGACAATAAATATTTGTGAATAACGAAGGTCGCAAAACTCCATGATTTATCAAGTGATATTTTCAGGTTCTTTCAGATTTACATACTCCATATGTAATTTTATTGCTCTTTACTTACAGGTGTAGATTTGATAGCAGCTTTTTACGGGTGTTTGTATGTGGGTTGTGTCCCAGTCACCATTCGTCCTCCTCACCCACAGAACATAGCTACCACCCTCCCTACAGTCAAAATGATTGTAGAAGTCAGCAAATCCTCTGCCATTCTTACCAACAGTATTGTACATAAATTACTCAAATCCAAGGTAGGTTCAGGATCCTCCAAGGAAGAAATTTGCATATTATTAAAGATCATCTTTTTCAATGGCATCAAATATCCATTGCTGTTCACAGTCTGGCTACTACTGTTGACATACATTTATCCGCATGGGATTAATGTACACGGTCACAAATTTTCCGTGGAAATTTGTCACAGCATTCTTCAAGTGCATTTAAGACATACATTTACTTTGACAATTCAAGAAATCTGCATATTTTGTACCCAATAAGCAAATATTGTGAGCTCATAGAATTAATGATCCTGTGCAAAAAAGTACATTTACAGTATATGTAATGTTTTACAACTGATCAAAGCTTAAATTGGTGCATATATTTTCAACACACAGGAGGCAACACAGATTTTAGAGTCCAAGTCCTGGCCCACAATCTTGGACACAGATGACCTCCCAAAGAAGAAATTAGCTGCCATTTATCGAGCCCCCACCCCAGAAATGATCTGTTACCTAGACTTCAGTGTATCAACCACAGGGATGTTAGCAGGGGTCAAGGTCAGTGAAACAGGAAGTAATGAAAAGCAATTTTTTGTTACAGTTTGTTAGAATATTGGAATGGGCTTTTACAAGCAAAATGACCTAAAATACTATCATAATAACTATTTAGTGTAACACAGAGTAACATACAGTTTGTTATATTATGCTGAATCATTTCAGATGTCTCATGCCTCGGCTACTGCTCTCTGTCGGTCCATTAAGTTACAGTGTGAGTTATATCCCTCAAGGGATGTAACTCTGTGTTTGGACCCATATTGTGGACTAGGTTTTGTCCTTTGGTGTCTCTCAAGGTAAAATTTGGAGGGTTTTTTCTTTTTAAAGATCAAGTTTATTAAAATAACATTTTTTTAAGGAACAGCCAAGAGTTTTGTCTACTTGTATACTGTATTGACGTCTTATCTCAATTTCAGTATTTACTCTGGTCATCATTCCATACTGATTGCTCCATCAGAGGTGGAAACCAACCCAGCTGTTTGGCTTACAGCTGTCAGCAATTATAAAGGTAATGTTCTATGTCTCCTCAGAATCTCCTTAAATTTACACTTTGTTATACAACAGTTTGGCGTGTGTAAAAAAAAATCCATTGAAAATTACGGTAGAACGTTTTCTGTATTTTAGTGCGGGACACTTTCTGTTCATATGGGGTGATGGAATTGTGTACAAGAGGTTTAGGCACATCAACTACTACGTTAAAAGTAAGTTAATGCATATCTGTATTGAATTTAATTCAAAGAAGTATAATGGTGAATTACAAAATATTGGTAGTGTTTTTTAGCTCACCTTATCACCCGTTGTCTGTCGTCCGTCCGTCCGTCTGTCCATCCGTCTGTAAACTTTTCACATTTTCAACTTCTTCTCAAGAACCACTGGGCCAATTTTAACCAAACTTAGTACAAAGTAACCTTGGGTGAAGGGGAGTTTAAATTGTAATAATAAAGGGCCAAGTCCCCTTCAAAGGGGAGATAATCAAGAAAATACAAAAATTGGGTGGGATCATTAAAAAATCTTCTTCTCAAGAACCACTGGGCCAGAAAAGCTGAAACTTATGTGGAAGCATGCTGGGGTAGTGTAGGTTCTAAATTGTTCAAATCATGACCCCCGGGGGTAGGGCGGGGCCACAATAGGGAATCCAAGTTTTACATTGAAATATGTAGTAACAATCTTTAAAAATCTTTTTCTCAAGAACCAGTGGGCCAGAAAAGCTGAAACTTATGTGGAAGCATCCTGGGGTAGTGTAGATTCTAAATTGTTCAAATCATGACCCCCGAGGGTAGGGCGGGGCCACAATAGGGAATCCAAGTTTTACATTGAAATATATAGGAAAAAGCTTTAAAAATCTTCTTCTCAAGAACCAGTGGGCCTGAAAAGCTGAAACTTATGTGGAAGCATGCTGGGGTAGTGTAGATTCTAAATTGTTCAAATCATGACTCCCGAGGGTAGGGCGGGGCCACAATAGGGAATCCAACTTTTACATTGAAATATATAGGAAAAAGCTTTAAAAATCTTCTTCTCAAGAACCAGTGGGCCAGAAAAGCTGAAACTTATGTGGAAGCATGCTGGGGTAGTGTAGATTCTAAATTATTCAAATCATGACCCCCGGGATAGGGCGGGGACATAATAGGGAATCCAAGTTTTACATTGAAATATATAGGAAAAATCTTTAAAAATCTTCTTCTCAAGAACCAGTGGGCCTGAAAAGCTGAAACTTATGTGGAAGCATGCTGGGGTAGTGTAGATTCTAAATTGTTCAAATCATGACCCCCGGGGATAGGGCAGGGCTACAATAGGGAATCCAACTTTTACATTGAAATATATAGGAAAAATCTTTAAAAATCTTCTTCTCAAGAACCAGTGGGCCAGAAAAGCTGAAACTTATGTGGAAGCATCCTGGGGTAGTGTAGATTCTAAATTATTCAAATCATGACCCCCGGGGGTAGGGCGGGGCCATAATAGGGAATCCAAGTTTTACATTGAAATATATTGGAAAATCTTTAAAAATCTCCTCAAGAACCACTGGACCTGAAAAGCTGAAATTTATGTGGAAGCATGCTGGGGTATTTTAGATTCTAAATTATTCAAATCATGACCTCCGGGATAGGGCGGGACCACAATAGGGAATCCAAGTTTTACATTGAAATATATAGGAAAAATCTTTAAAAATCTTCTTCTCAAGAACCACTAGGTGAGAAAAGCTGAAACTTATCTGGAAGCATCCTGGGGTAGTGTAGATTCTAAATTGTGCAAATCATGACCCCGGGGGGTAGGGCGGGGCCACAATAGGGAATCCAAGTTTTACATTGAAATATATAGGAAAAAGCTTTAAAAATCTTCTTCTCAAGAACCAGTGGGCCAGAAAAGCTGAAACTTATGTGAAAGCATGCTGGGGTAGTGTAGATTCTAAATTGTTCAAATCATGACCCATGGGGATAGGGCGGGGCCACAATAAGTACTACAGGGGGAAGGGGGAGAAATCAGGTGAAAAACAGCAAGGCCAAAGTTACTCAGGTGAGCGCTGTGGCCCATGGGCCTCTTGTTTTTTTTAGACCAACTACATGTATATACCATATGAAGCTATCCAGCAAGTAAATATAAACACTAGCTTGGTATAAATAACCTATATTTTATCTTGCAGTGGTGATCTGCTTCAGATACATGACATTTAAAAAGCTAGAAATTCATGTTGCATATTTTTTTCAGCAAAGGGGGATTAACCTGTCCTGTGTCCGTACATGCTGTGTGATAGCAGAGGAACGACCCAGGATCCTACTAACGACGTCTTTCACAAAGTTATTTGCTAACCTCGGACTTACCCCTCGGTCTGTCAGCACAAGTTTTGGCTGCAGAGTCAACCTAGGAATGGCATTACAGGTACTGTATAGATGAAGAGATAAGACTTGTCCATATATTCTTGTATTTGCTGTAAAAAGGACCTTTTAAAGTAAGTTAAAGTGATGAATATACTGTTGAACCTAGTTGTCTCAAATTCAATAGACTGAGAAAAACCTTCCAGAAATTTAAGGATGAAAGAGATTGAGGTTAAAATACATAAAGAAAAAATGGTTTGAACTGCCAACTTAGTTGAGCATATCTATAGTATACATGATATTGATATTCAGATATATGTATCTAAGTTCAGCTGTATAATTTTTTCCAAAGCTTAAGTTTGAAATAACATAAGAGCTTAAAAAGGTAGATTTGATGTATTATGGTCACTCTATTTTTAGGGAGCCTCCTGCCCTGACCCCACCACTGTGTATGTTGACAAGCGAGCAATGAGGAATGACCGAGTCACACTAGTAGAAAAAGGAAGTCCTCACAGTCTTTGTATCATGGAATCTGGCAAGGTAAAACACTCCCTAAACTAGACTCTAATTCATGTAATCAACAAAGTTTTCTGAACTTGAAGGATACACATCGTGAAATTTTTTTCTTATATCAAAATGACATAGAATAGATTGCATTAAAGGTAGAAATGTTTTACATGTGTATTACAGTTGTTGCCTGGTGTCAAAGTTGTGATAGCTAATCCAGAAACAAAAGGACAGTGTGCCGATTCTCATCTAGGGGAGGTAAGTTTACACATTTTACCTGTTCAATTCTCAACCCCCATGAAAGTATCCATCGAAAGGTAAGGCTTTGAATGGGGCTCATCAATCATCACTGTATCTATCTGATCTTGACAGATTTGGGTGAACAGTCCCCATAATGCATCAGGGTATTTTATGATATATGGTGATGACTCACTCCATGCAGAGCATTTCAACTCTCATCTAGCCACAGGTGACACCACAACGCAGTATGCCAGAACTGGTTTCCTTGGCTTTGTGCGGCGAACAGAGCTCACACAAAGTGATGGCGGTAAGAAATTTCTTCTTTCATTAAGAAATGGTTTTTCTATTCACATGTAACTTATATACCATTTTCAAAAACTGCCACAATGCATTTATAGCCTGAGGAATTTTTTGACAATTGGTTGTTGTTTTCAGGGAGGCATGATGCAATATTTGTTGTGGGTGCATTAGATGAAACCATTATGTTGAGAGGAATGAGGTACCATCCTATCGACATAGAAATGAGTGTCGTTAGGTGTCATCGCAAAATCTGTGAATGGTGAGTGTTGCTAATTTGTTATTTTGGTTTCTGGTTGCAGATAGAGAGGAAAATTTATTTTCATATTGAAATCTAATTTAGAGAGACTCTGACATATAACAAATGTTTTGTAAATTGCAGTGCTGTTTTTACCTGGACAAATTTGTTGGTTGTGGTGGTTGAGTTGGAAGGAAATGAAAATGAGGCTCTGGACTTGGTTCCCCTGGTAACCAATGTAACACTAGAGGAACACTACCTGATTGTAGGGGTGGTAGTAGTGGTGGATCCAGGAGTTATTCCAATCAACTCACGGGGAGAAAAACAGAGAATGCACCTGAGGGACGGCTTCCTTGCCGATCAGCTAGACCCAATATATGTGGCTTACAATATGTAAATTACTATATTATGCAAGAACTTGGTGCAGCTCTCCTATTGTTAAGAATAGAGGATTGCTTACTTATTTGACTGATTATAATGGAAATATGCCGATACAAAAAAATCAGTGTGTGTGTATTGTATGCATATAAACCATGTTCTATACCCCCCTTCCTAAAGAAATTCCATTTTTCCTAGTAGTCAATCAATTGTTTGTAGTTCATACCCGTGAAAGTGTGTATTATTTTTATGTAAAAGTTGTATAATTTATGTTATAAGTGCTGCTTTCTTTATCTGCTAAGTTTAGTGTTTTACCATTAGATATAAAAATATTTATCCATGAAATGGAATACATTCTTTGGGAATGTAAATAATGAACTGAATAGATGTGAACAAAAAAAGAAGCATCATTTGGTCAAGTACATGATTGTGATAGATTGATTGTTAACTGTAGGTCATAGATCTGAAGTCTTATGCTCATTATATTGTTAGAGAGCATAATATACATGTAGTAACATAAACTCAACTAGAAGGCATTATCTGGTTCAGTATCAAAAACTTTAAGATATTTATACTTTATACGAATACATGTATGTATTATTTTGATTTCATTATATGATTAAAATCAAGCATTCAAAATTAGGGCCAGTTAACTCTTGTATCATTTTGCTCTTTGATAGATTTTGCTTACTATAAAGATATCGGTATTACTAATGTGTGTTTACATTGTTTTAGGTTTTGGGGTTTTCTTTTTATTTTCCAAATCATTTTCCTCTTTTCTCATAATTTGAAATGCTTATATTTTAAAGGTTAGGATTTTGTACCCTTTAAAAAATATATGACAAAACTTTAAACTTTCGATGAATGGTAACGTTCAATATGTAGAAAAGTGATGCTGAAAATAAGTTTTAGTGAATGATTGAGATTATTTGTCTATTAATCAACATGACAGAGGTGCAATATATGATTTAACAAATTTTTGGGGGCCCAGAGCAGAGTTTTTATACTCAAGAGGAATTCTTATATCAAGATGGTGTGTTTAGGAAGAAGAAATTACCATAAATTGCAAAATCCTTGTGTAAATCTCGGCTATGGGCACGTAAATGCAGTTGTACATATAGCGTATGGAAAGGCTAGTGTTGAGTGATTTATAAGTTATTCACTTTTTGTGGATCTGTGTCTTAGCATGTGTTTGTCTATAGCTTGAATGTGATAGAGATGGAAGCTGTTCCTGTATGTTTTATATACTTTATGTAGGTTACTAAGGAAAGTAATACATTATTACAAAATGTATTTATTTATTTGAATTGTGCAGTGTATCAAGTACTGAATTATATATGTGGTGTATCTAAGAAGTGCTGTTCTTTAATTATATACTTAACAGAGAGGTGGATCGAATTACAGGAAAAATCTTCTTTTTTTTTTTTTTAATTCTTTAAATTTCAAATTAATTTCAGACCTTCTATAACGATATAAATTCATTGATTTTTTTCTGTACCCTAGAAAAATATTTTATGAAGTTTCTAATCGGGAAAAAAATTCCTGTAGATTGAATCTAATTTGCAGGCATGTAATCAGAAACAGTAATTGTACATTTATTTCAGTTTACTGTAAACCAACCATCACTTGCCACAACTTTTATTCATTATTCAGCAATTTCAAATCAATCCATGCCTATAAATTTTTGTGGCAGAGGAAATATTCTATGTACATGTAAATACACAACAAAATAAATTATTCGTGGCAAGAAATATTCTTAAGTAAAAGAAGGTTGCAAAACTTGTGGATATTTTTGCAGGCAAAAAAAGGTGGGTTTACAGTTCCTAATTGCTGTTTTAAAAATGTCATTTTCACTAAACATAGACATAGCAAACAAAACAACAACCTAAATCACTGTGTAAAATATCAGCAATTCCTCTAATTCTGCTGCTATTTCATTTCTTTGAACTTGCTGACAAAATATTGCTATAAGCAGATATATTTGTTTTACTCATTTTTTGCTGTAATAGGTTCCACTGTTACTATACACCATGGCTTAGAATTAGAAATCATTAGGTGTCAGAGGAAATTATTACATTTCTAATGCTACTTAATTTTTCATAATTACTAATCATAAGCAATTTAAAATTATGCTGTGAATCTTCATTTATCTTCTTTTTTTTTAATTTGAAGCACACAGAATCTGTAAACAAGTTAAGCTTTTGCTTCAGAAGGTTCAAATGCAGTACATGTATTTCAGCCCAAAATTTCTGTCATGAATATGCTTATATTTACCTTTCATCAAACAATAGAAACAAAACAAGCTTGTGTTAACAAAGTTACGCTTTCCTCTGTTTATAAAGTTAACTACCTTAAGTCAGACAATACGATGTCTGCTTGTTTGTACAACTCTTGATAAAACATTTGTTTTCTCTTTTTATATGGCTCTGTATGAAGTAAAATGTCTTTAACAAGTAAATTTTACAAACTCTGTTGCTTTTTTTCTTAATACAAACTCTTCACTTCATCATTATTTACTTTGTGATAAAGTGATGCAGGTAAAAGAACCTGAAGATGTACCAGTTTACCAAGAAAAGTCTATGATGGGAAGATACAGTTCTGTCCATCCATGGGTAATTCATGAAAGAAATTTCTTTTATCATTTTCAGCAATCACCCTGATAAAAGTACAATGTTTAACTGTGAAGGCATCATTGTCATAAGGCACAGTATTGAGGCCATAAGCTCCCTCAAGAGAGGGATGATACTAAATTCATGTCAAGCAGCTGTGGGTCAGTGAGAATGTGCAGGCATCCATTCATAGTTTAAGAATATAATTGATGATTTTTTATTACTTATCCCTCATGATGCTTCAACTTACAAAAGTCTTACACTGTGAAAGATATAATTCAGATGCAATTTTACTATAGCTATAAAATTCCAAAATAAGGTCATGACCTACTTTTGGGTCACAACACCCTCTCCTCCTTAAGAGGCATCAACTGACCCAGGTTTAATGGTCAATTGTCTCACTGAACACAGAGAATCAAACGGAAGGACAGGAAAGCCCACAACATAATAGGGCCTATAAAAGGATGGGTGTATAAGAAAGTATTATTTTGCCTCCTCTCTGCTTTCAGTAACATTTATTCCTGATCACAACTATTCTATTTTGTAAGCATTTTCATAGAAGTGTTCCATAGTGCAGTTACATGTATACCAGTTTTGGTAGAAAGGACTTGAATCAAAAGCAAAGTCATGGGTCATCATTGCTGTACATGTATTATGCTTAATAAGAAAACTCTTGAAACTGGTAACAATTCTATTTAGTAATGGAAAAAAGAAACTGAATTACCATATGTTTTGACAAGGTTTATTCAAATCTGACTGAAATTCAAACAAACTTTCAACAAAATAAAATGAATGAAATAAAGATATAAGTATGCAACGTATCTAGACATTAATAAATGTTAAACCAAAGATTTAATTACTTTCAGACTTTCCCTTACTTTAAGGGAATTTAAAATTACTTGTCACTGAATACCTACCAGTACATCTATGCAGTGACTACATTTTATAATTTTACATGCTGTATATTCTACTATATCTCCCATCAAAGCATGTTCTCTGTTCAGAGAGATACTTTGATGCCTTGTGGAACAACATATACGTAAGCATGCACCAATTACAAAGGTATCACAGATACTCTTGTCATGCCTCTAAGAATGATACATAGTCTGTTAGTACTGACAACTGCTGCTCACTTAAAAGTTCTGGATCCTTGGCAGGTACTGCAAGTAGTAAATTACATTTTTATATTTAAAAAAAAAAAAAAAGAAGAAGTTTTTTTACATTTATTGAAAACAAATATTATAAAATTGAAATTACAACAGTAAATAATGGTAAGTGATCATATAAAAAGCACTTTAATTACCAGTATTAGACAAATGAATTGATTATGTTCTTACCTAGCTTTTTAGGTTTAATATACTTAGTTGCTGAATCATATGTCCACCCTTCTTGGACTGCCGCTAGATATAGTGAAAAGATTTATCCAGAATAGAACAAAATGAAGTTCCATTTTTAAAACAAGCTACCTGTATGAGCATTTAATCAAACATAGCAACTGAGCTCTTATCTTTTGTTGTTCACTAGATATTGTTAATGTGATAAATGCCCAATCAGCATCAATGTCGGCAAGAAAAATAAAAACATTTTATGAAAATTTAGAAACACATACTACCTTGTATAGCCTCATTTGAAGGCATTCCCATAAACACAGCCCACTCCTCGGCATTGATGGAACTGTAGGCTTTAGATACTAGTCTCATGGCCCTTTCTCTTGTGGCAGCTTTCAACAGGAAGAAAAAATAGACCCCAAAATGATATATTTGAATGCTAAAAGTTTTTTTTAACAACTTTTTTATTTTCAATGTGTAACCAAATATGACATTAATTCTGAACCCCTCTGTCCGCTATGTACATGTATGTATATTAATTAAAAATATCAAAAAAAACTTTATGCATTCCTTGTTAAAAGGTCAAAAAAATGCATCTAAGAATTTTTCCAATTATAAATGTATAGCTAAATATCACATTCAAAATGGACATGGGTTTTTACCTTTCACTGCCTCCATTATTTGTAGAACACTTTCTGACCATTCTCTCTTTAATGCTTCGTAGATTGCTGGGTAATCTCTCAACCACAGTTTCTGTCCAACTGCCCAGATATGACCTGTTTCAGAATTTGACTACAAGACAAGGTTTAATATATATGTATGGTCTAGTATGTCATGTTTGTGCTTAAATTTAGTGAAAATTTGAAAGAAACCAACTTACACTCTTAACTGACTGAGGTATTCTTTTCCATAAGAATTTTGCATTGCACCTGGAATTACAGATAATACTTCAAACTCACTGACATTATTACTAACCAGGAAGTCCAAATTTCAATTTAAAATTTGAAAAAAAAACATCTTAGGCCTGTAAACAGGTAAACAGTACGTACTAAAAATCTTTTTCAATAATAATCATGAGACAGTTTGTTTGTCTGTCTTAGAACATCATCTTACATGTCATTGTGAAGAAGATACAAGGCTAACAGCTGATTATACACCTGAGGTGATGTCCCTCCTCCTGCAGACTAAAATGTATGCACAAAATCATTAACTTTTTTAATCATGTTCTTCTTGGACCATAAACATTTAAACAAGAGGCATAAAATATGAAGCTGTTTACTTGGTTTGAAGATTATTCCATTATTTAGTCAGAACTTTGACGAACATCAAATGTATACTTCTATTCGAATTAAAAAATATCAAAATATCCACACACACAAAATTATAAATAAACAAGTGAAGAGAAAATTCGAGATAACGGAATTAACCCTCATTACTGGACAATATTGAAGATTAATCGTTATAAACATCCTATAAAAAGTATGTAATTAAATTATCTCAAACATCTGTTATGGCATATTACCTCAAGTTCTTGTTGTTCTAATTCGATTTGTAGTTTTTGATAATCAACATTTTCTTTGGCCATTTTTACAATGGACCCTAATGCGAACAAACTGTTATTTTCCGAAAAAGTGAAATATCGTGATCAGCAGTCTTCGGCTGATTTCTATTTAATTTTGTGAGAAAAATTACGTTGCTAATTGTTTTAAGTATGTTTATTTTTCAGCAAGTAATTATCATTATTAATATTATTATTTTACTTATTTATTTTCATCGAAATCAATATTTCACGGGTGAAAAATAAATAGGGCCTACATTGTTCTACTCGAGGGGTAGATGGGGTTATGGCTTATTATTTCATATACGAGGCCGTCAGAATTCCACAGTGAGTTGGGAGGCGCTCGAACCCCCACCCTCCACCCCTCGAATAAAAAATCAATAATTATCTGTATTGATGTTCGCTTTTGTTTTATTTAATATTTGAAAAAAGTTACGTCCAGAATGCACTAGTATATATATACATCAATGGTACCCTTCCAAAAATTATTTTATGGGATTACCCCTTCCCAAGCACGGTACCAGAAATTTTTGAAAAGTGATCGAGGGTTGAGAAGAAAATTTTTGTTTAAAATAACATTATTTTAAAGGTATGTTATATTTACAAACCACAGAGGAAAAAAAAAACTCTTGTTGAATAAAGAAAGTGACACGATTTTAAAAATTCTAGTTCGAAAAAAAAAATTCCTTATACGAAATACCTTTTTAGTTTTCATTTTTTCATTATACGAAATACGTACAATCTTTTCTCTTTTTAACCAAAATCAGAAGGGGGTGAAATCCTCGTAACCCCTCTCTAGATCCACCACTGCTCCCACAGACATTAAGTAAGGTATTTTAAAAGCCTATTGGAATCAAACAACGGGGGGGGGGGGGGGGGCACAAATTAGAAAGGCAATATAATGCAAAAAAGCATAATAACGCAAAAAAGCGTTATAACGCGGAAAAGGGCGTTACTACGTACACTATGCTTTTCAAGAGGTGTGATAACGGCGAAAGTGAAAAGGCGCTATTTAGCGTTTTAATAACACATTTTTACTCTGCTTTGACGCTTCCTACAAAAAATAGAGTTTCGTGAATAGTAGAAAAACACGAACAGGAAAAAGTGTATCTTCCCACTTTCAAAAATTGACATAAGTGCTTGTGAAACTCAAAAGAAAAAAAACGTTTCTTGACTCCCTTATTCCAAATTCCAATTTAACTTTCCGTATAAGAAAAGGTGCATGGTTTCAAAATTCTTTATTGCCTTGTTTACATTAAATCTAATAACATTGAAAAAAAAAACTACAAGGACATGGACTACATTATTCTTTCTTTCTACAACCATTTGTAAAATACCCAGTAAGTAAATTGATTCAAAAAATGCAGCGCTGTAGCTTAAAAAAATATTTATAAGCTCCACCTTGCAGTCTAAAGCCCCCCCCCCCTCCCCCCCCCCCAAAAAATTCCTTAAATTTGCATTGATGTTTCATATCTGGAACCTGCAAAGGTTTATCTTTAAAGTTGGACTTGTGGTCATGACAATTTTTACACAGACAAATTTGCTTCCTTCAAACAATTTACACTGACCTTTTTAAGACTCAAGACCCTTCGAAAACAATACATATATCTATTTACTTCATGGCTATGTTAATTGTGTGATAATTTAATTAGCAGTGTCAAACTTTATTCAGTGACCATACGAAGTAAAGATATTTCAAAGTCTGCATTTTATGATTATTAACCATTATCACGATTGACATTCGGCAAAACACTCTCCTCCAATTCAAGAGACCGCGTCAATTAAAGAGACCGCGTCTATATAGCGTTTTCTCATCTCTAATCCAGATGCATAATCCAGCATACTAGTCACCAAAGAGGGTCCAAGATGTCCAGTGAAAAAAGAGTGGGCAGGTAGGTTTGGTAGGTTACCATGTATTACAGTACCACACGCACATACACAGAGAGAGAGAGAGAGAGAGAGAGAGAGAGAATTCAATTCGCCTCAAAAATTCATAATAGACATAAAATTTCTTATTATTATTTAGTCGTTGTTGATGTCATTTATTTCTGAAAATAACATTTCTGACCAAGTGTAACGTAAATTGTTTAATGAAATTTCTTTATTTATTTTGTTTACCTGTACTGGCAATATACTACGTGTATGTGTAAAATTTGAAATGCATTAACAGTAAATCTCTGTAACATTTAACGAAGAATAGAGTACCTGAACCTTATCTCTGCTTGTTAGAAAAGGCTTAATATCAGGTAAATTTTATAGTCTTTGAACAAAATTTTATAATGTATATAATGTATTTTATAATGTATACTGTAACTTTATAATGCATGTTTTTTCAAGATGAACTCTCGCCATCTCGTCACCGACTTCTTACATTTACTTAGCTTTATTCCAATGAACGATACAAAACTTTTCTTTCTGTTGTGAAGAATCTAATACAAAGTCATTGTTGCAGTCTTTGAAAAGTAACTGTTTTGTGAGCTGAACTCTAGTCATCACGTGACCAGAAACCGTTCACCGCTATCAATCGAAAGCGTGAGAGCTCTAACCGCTCCCTAGACTTTTGTAGACAAATGATTTTTTTCAATAGTAACTGTCATAAGATTGCATTTTTGCATCAGTGTTATAAATATTGCTACGCATTGCCGTTATAAGATCAATAAAGAACCCCCATTACTTTTTTTAACAATAAAATTTATAATATTCATCTTCGATGTATCGGATTGAGTGAAATTCGTTATCTTGACAAAAAGCTTGCAATTTCACTCATTCACATCATTCATGCGTAAGTTATTGTGAAGCGTAAATAATTTTGAAATCCAGATATTTTTTTAACTACATTAGACACAAACCAACGATAAAGTAAAAATCTTGAAATGCCAAGACTCAGCTGCTGCATTATACTTGTTCGCCGTACAAATGGAGATCACTTAATTGAGATTTTTAATGTTCATTCTAGAACAAATGATTTTCAAATGTGTGCATGTATACATTAGTTCCTTTGGTGCAAGGCAAAATTTCAAGCATGAAATCAGAATGAGAGAGAGAGAGAATTCAATTCGCCTCAAAAATTCATAATAGACATAAACTTTCATATATTATTATTATTTAGTCGTTGTTGATGTCATTCATTTCTGAAAATAACATTTCTGACCAAGTGTAACGTAAAATGTATTATGAAATTTATTGATTTTGTTTACCTTTACTGGCAATATACTACGTGTATTTGTAAAATTTGAAATGCATTAACAGTCAATCTCTGTAACATTTAACGAAGAATAGAGTACCTGAACCTTATCTCTGCTTGTTAGAAAAGGCTTAATATCAGGTAAATTTTGTAGTCTTTGAACAGTACTTTATAATGTATGTTTTTTCAAGATGAACTCTCGCCATCTCGTCACCGACTTCTTACATTTACTTAGCTTTATTCCAATGAACGTTGTACTTACGTCGTTCAAAGGGAGATCATTTGAGTACATCCAGAGTTACCTTATGCAAATTTCACAAGATAACTGCTAAGCATTTGAGAGATAAGTATAAATTGGAGATTTCTGGAGGATGGTGGTGGGCTAATATTTCTGCTTGTTTCAGGCAATAAAGACACGTGAAGTCGTGAACCAACCTGCTTCATGTATCTGCACATGCATGTACATGCATTGTACTGCATATGCAACCTGTGAACCTTATGCTTGATCAAACAAATCGCTCTTATTTTAAGTTACACATATTGATATAGTGATTTTTAAAAAATTTTAACCGCAGATATTTGACTCTTAATATATTTTTGTTCTTGAAACTAATGTGCATCAATCAGAGTTGTGACTGTCTTAATTTTGTTGGATCAAAATAGTAAGAAAACTTATTCTTAAAAATGATTAAAAATGCATTTTTTGTACAAATCAAGATATAGCAATTACAAGATGTGACTAAAAAAGGCACATGTTCATTGTTGATTTAAAAACGATACAAAACATTTCTTTCTGTTGTGAAGAATCTAATACAAAGTCATTGTTGCAGTCTTTGAAAAGTAACTGTTTTGTGAGCTGAACTCTAGTCATCACGTGACCAGAAACCGTTCACCGCTATCAATCGAAAGCGTGAGAGCTCTAACCGCTCCCTAGATTTTTGTAGACAAATGATTTTTTTCAATAGTAACTGTCATAAGATTGCATTTTTGCATCAGTGTTAGATATATTGCTACGCATTGCCGTTATAAGATCAATAAAGAACCCCCATTACTTTTTTTAACAATAAAATTTATAATATTCATCTTCGATGTATCGGATTGAGTGAAATTCGTTTTCTTGACAAAAAGCTTGCAATTTCACTCATTCACATCATTCATGCGTAAGTTATTGTGAAGCGTAAATAATTTTGAAATCCAGATATTTTTTTTAACTACATTAGACACAAACCAAAGATAAAATAAAAATCTTGAAATGCCAAGACTCAGCTGCTGCATTATACTTGTTCGCCGTACAAATGGAGATCACTTAATTGAGATTTTTAATGTTCATTCTAGAACAAATGATTTTCAAATGTGTGCATGTATACATTAGTTCCTTTGGTGCAAGGCAAAATTTCAAGCATGAAATCAGAATGAGAGAGAGAGAGAGAATTCAATTCGCCTCAAAAATTCATGATAGACATAAACTTTCATATATTATTATTATTTAGTCGTTGTTGATGTCATTTATTTCCGAAAATAACATTTCTGACCAAGTGTAACGTAAAATGTATTATGAAATTTATTGATTTTGTTTACCTTTACTGGCAATATACTACGTGTATTTGTAAAATTTGAAATGCATTAACAGTCAATCTCTGTAACATTTAACGAAGAATAGAGTACCTGAACCTTATCTCTGCTTGTTAGAAAAGGCTTAATATCAGGTAAATTTTGTAGTCTTTGAACAGTACTTTATAATGTATGTTTTTTCAAGATGAACTCTCGCCATCTCGTCACCGACTTCTTACATTTACTTAGCTTTATTCCAATGAACGTTGTACTTACGTCGTTCAAAGGGAGATCATTTGAGTACATCCAGAGTTACCTTATGCAAAT